GGGGGGGGGGGGGGTTTATGAAGAGCTCGGTTTATATATGTATATATATACTCGGGGTTGTGTGAATGTTAATGTGTGTTTAGCTCTGATGGGAATTTAATGAAAGAAGAAGAAGAAGAAGAATAGTGTGTGGCGTTGTATGGGAGAAGCAAAGATAATGTATGGGCGATAGTGAAAGATCGCCACAGCAAGAGAGACAACCTTATTGTGACCGACTTCTCCTCTCTTGTCTTCTCCACCGCTCCCTTTGTTTCTTTCTTTTTACATTGTAATTATAAAGTCAAATCTACGAATAATAATATAACGATGCCTCTTTTGTCTTCTTTTTTTTCCATCTCCATCTAAAAATGAGAAAATAATATTTGTATTTTCGTTTAAGTTATAAGCATGGGCGTTTCTTTTAACGTTCGAATCCGTAAATGTACTGTTGGCCTCGATCATATTTTTATTTAATCCTAAGTTACACAAATATAATTAAATTCAGATATGTTTTTGTGAGTATCTTACTTTTGATCGAAAAGAAACAAAATACAATTAATTATAGATTTTTTTATGGCAGGTTATGAAATTCTTTATTCATGACATAAAAATATAATGGTGGACCAAAAAATCTCTCCGGATGATGCTCCAACAATAATGCAACTACTACTTCTTTTGTCGTCATGCAACTATTTTCTTTTTCTTCTTGTTCTAAAACATTTTGTTTTCTCCGAGAAGCGAGTAAATTTTAGGACCAAATTCCAAACTATGCAATGACAAAGTACGAAAAAAGAAAAGAAGCTTTCCAACGGAAATAAATCTCGAGAATTAGAAACACTTTTTTTTTTCTTTTTTCCTATTTTATGTTTGATAACATATCATATTGCATTTGCACCCACGGGTAACTAACTAAAATTGATATTCGCCTCGCTAAGAAAAACATCTAACGACTCAAATTATCACTGCTATACATAAAGATATTTCTGTTCACAATAAAAAGATGAAGAGTTATCGAATGGATCCAAAAAAATAGTAATTTCTATTTTTCCTTTTCGTGTCTATTTATATATATATATCAAATGAGTAAAGATAATATCTAAAAGGAATCCACGGTAAAAAAAGAATTACAAATTATAAAATGGTACTATTGTATGTAGGTATTTTAAAGAGTGGAGGGAGCGATGGTGGTACGACTTAAGACTAGCGATAAAGACGGCCACAACAACAAAAAAAAAGCCCACGTGATTAGGAACGAACCTTCATATATTTTGTACGCTATACAAAAAAAATGAAAATAAGAAGACAAATGTTATACTGGGATTTGGACTCATTCTCCTCTTCGTACAAATGACATGGGCCCTATCCTTTAACGCTGGCTTTCAAAATGGGTCCCATAACTGGCTTTATTGGGCCTTGTTCACGTGCACTTCACGTGATGCCTCGTGATTCATCAACCACCCCCCACCCCCCACCCCCCACCCCCACCCCCACTTTTTGTTATTTTGTCTCCTCCAGTCCTCCGCCCAAAGTCCCGTAATAACTGCTCTGCTACAGTGCTACTTCTACTGGTTTTTTTGTCGTCTTCTACATTCTTCTTTTTACCCAAATATCCTCCTAAACCGACAGTGTTACATTTACTTGTAGATGAAAATTTGGATTGGTTTTTGTTTCAGTTTATCTAGCAAACCTAATCTTACTTTAAAAAATTTGGTTTAACAAATCAAGGGACCTTCACTTGCTGGCAAAAATATATAAACGAATCAAACCTCCTTCATATTTCACACTTTTGCTGCTAGCTATCATAAAAAGGAATCTTACTTAATATATATATAAGGTTGTGTCTTTAGTTGGTTCACAAATTAAAATTATTAAACTTTTTCTTTACGGGATGCATGAGTCAATAAGCTATTTCAACCATCTTCTTTACTCGCCTCAACTCATGCATGACAATTGACACACCACTCACTACACCCAAAGGACGGTTCTGGTCTACTGGAAAAAAGGTAAATTCAAAACGACACCATCTCTCTTCAATCTTTTTTTTTTTTTTTAAGTGGAGAATAACGACTTACGTGTGATTGAGAGATTCTCTGAGGCTCTCAGCTCTGCCTCACCCTAACACATCATCTTTCAAACATTCTGCCACAATCATCTTCAGCTGCACCATCTTTCCTCTCGCAGACTGTGTCATCAACCACAATACACCATATTTTAAGTTTTATCCTTTCATATTATGATTTTTCTTTTTTTTTTAAACCTTTAGATTTTGATTCTTAGGCGCACAAGAAGAAACACTTGCCTTGTTGACAGATTTGATTCTTTTGGTCGCATTTTCCAGCTTTGTCTCGATGCCTCCTTCAAATTGTGCGATCAGTTTTTGGTGTGATGTTCCTGTGAGCGACAGATATATATATATGAAACTTCAAGTTAGTTTAGGAACCACTTGTCCTCCCCCTCCTGTTATATCAAAAAGTGAACATACTTTGCTTCTTTATGCTGCCTTTCAACTCTGAATGGTTTGCTTCAAGCCCTTCAATAGTAGTCTTGAAATCTTCAAGATGATGGCTGACATCATCCTTGAACTTTTCATGGATCATTCTCATTTTCTCTTGTTGCTCTGCAATACAATCAGATTGTCAGTGAAGGTGTGAACACAGTAAATCAGGATGGGGCTTCATTATTATTCTCAACAAGGGGACGTATGAAGAAACTTTAAATACTCTGATGTTCCACAACGAGACACAAGTCAAATTCCCAATTCTACTTATAAGAATTGAGCACACAGCTTTGTCTTGAGGAATTATGTAAGATGCAAGTTTCCTGTCAATATAAGAACCTAAACCAAGATTGCATTTGAAAAGTTTAGAACAGATACGTGAATCATGTGTGTCTATTCAAGCAAAAATGATGGTAGCAGAATGAAGCAAGATAGTGAGTACGTCAAGACTAAATGCAATCTAAATACCTTGTGCCAGTACTAAACTGCAAAGATAGTATATTTGAATTTTGAAGCTTTCTTAATGTACATGACTGTGAATTATATCACAATTATCAACATATGATACTTTGCTGTACCTTGTAATTTTGTCTCTGCATGCTTTCTCTTAGTTTTGGCTAGGTTACTTGTCTTTCCCCTGTACCATAATTAGCAAGATCATTGACTGAATATTAGTAAGGAGCAATGCAGCATCAATTCTAGAAACATACGCTTCTGTTATGATATGAGACTTGACATTCTCCAACTCTAGATGTATCTCCTCGGAGACTGATGCTATAATTTCTGAGGACTTCTTTTCAGCTGCAGATTTCAGTTTTTTCTCATAGTTTTGAAGAGCCAAAGCGAACAATGCAACAGCCCTGAGACATGGCAATTAATCAACTTAACACAAGAACAAAGGTTTAAGGTAGAAACTTAAAATAGTTATATTTACAAGAGACCTTCCCAAGCCATCATCTTCATCCATTTCTGGACAATGCTGAAAGGAATCAGTTTTATGGATCCCTGCTTAGTTACCAGGACAAAATAATGAGAGTAGAGCATAAAAAACCACAACAATGACATACAAATGAGCATTACCTTCGGATAAAGACGTGGGAGGACTTAACACGACACATCCAGTGCCCTTAAAGTTAGAGTTGCGTTTAGCTGAGCTAGAGCCTAACTTAGATTTCTCATTACTCCAATTAGCAGTTTCTCTTTCTTTGGGGCCTGAATCAGACGATCAATAAATAAGCAGTACATGGATTCTTTAAAAAAGAAAATCACATCCTCCAATCTCTATATGGTCCAGGAAAAGAATTAAGAAGCATACTGTTGTAATGGCCCAACACTGGTGAATCTTCTCCGGAACCATCTGAGTCTCCCTCGTCAGACGACCGATCTGACAGAACTAAATCTTCATTTTGCTCCGGAGAACTTTCTCTTCTGAAAGAAGAATCTCTTTTCTTCTCCAAGAAATCCTGGAAATAAATAATGAAACACAAAGGTCAAAGAGGATTATGTAAAGTCAACATGCATGTTCTTAAGTAAAGATAAAGCAGCTCGAGTTTATGAAGGTTACAGGTAATCTCCTTTCTATATCTGACGCTTGGCCTGTTGTCCCTTGAGAGGTTTTTTTAGTACCGAAGCTAAATATTGGTGTTTCAGTCTCATCTAAAGTGGGACTAATATTCCTTGGTTGCAAAGGAGATACTCCGGGAGAAAAACATGGGGAAGGACTTGAGATTGGTGCTTTATATCCAAATGTTGGACTCTGAAATTCGTTTTCTGGCTCAGCAGAGTTTTCCATGAAAACATTACTCGTCCTTTCCTGTATCTCACCATTTTTAGATAATCCCTGGAACATCTTTGCTGTGGCTGCTGTCTCAGCTTCTGGAGATGGATGAAAATCTTTTTCCTTTGTGCTAATATCTGGTTTATGTTTCCAGGCTTTGCTCTGTGGATGAAGCTCATGGGAACTTCCCTTTTTGTCTGAAAATGAAGATCTTTTGCCAGTTTCCGTGCTCTCGGAATGTGGTGGAGTATTGCTCTTGCTCGCCTCCTTCCGAATCCCATCAACTTCATCCTTTCTGCGAGAATGAGCCTTCCGGCATTGTACAACAGTGTTTTTTCTCCTACCCCTTTGTTTCTTAGGCATAACAGCGGAATTCATAGCAGCAGTGCCAGCTTTTCCACGGAAACCTTCGTCAAAAGAGAATATATTATTCACTTGTTCTGCGGTTTTACGACCAGTGTTGGCACCAGCTTTGGTTCTCTTCTGGACACCTTTGGCTCCTACTCTCTTCAACAAAGATCTAGTTACTGGCCTTCTGGCTGCATCTTCAGGGCTTTCAGAATCAGTTTCTATAGAATCTGAATTGTGTATAGGCTTAATAAGAGGATCATCATATGAGCCCTTGTCTTGACTCAGCTTTAAGTTTGCCTTCACCACTTCTGGAGTCTCAGAATTCACATCTTTATTATTTGCTGGTGAAGCTTTTCCCAATATTTCCCACAGTTTTGATCTCAAAGCATCAGTACTTCCAATTTTCTCCTTCCCTGGCTGTTCCATCTCCTCTCTCTGTGATGCAACCTTTTGCTGCAAGACTGCAGATGGAGGTTCTTCCATCCCTTCTGGACTCATATCCAGCACTTTATTGTTCCTGCCGCCATTTAGCTCACCATGACTGTGCTGAGGACTCGAGATGGGAAAGTCTTGAAATGACTCACGAGCTGGTGCCTGATGTACTCCATCAAGTTCCTTGTTTACTCCCTTGCTACCAGAAAAACTAGATGTTTGCTTACAAAGAACGTTCTCCAGAGTCCCTAATTTCCGATTAGAAGACCTCCAAGGTGAGGTCACATGTCCTGTGACCTGAGCTGAACTCCTTTGCCTGGCAGATAAATCACCTTTATCTTTCTTGTTCGACTGTAAATCAGTTGCTGCGGCTGATTTCAACTTTTCTACTCTTGCAATAACATCTCCATCAGCCTTATCTGGCCCAGGATTTCTCTTGGGTTGTGAATCAGCCATAACTCCTATAGAAATCTTTCTAGACTGACTTGACGGGTGATAGTTACTGCCGAAGCTTCTATAGTCGCTCATCTTTTCCTGAAAATTATCCCCAAAAGGTTAACAATACTAGTGGGTAAAGAATAACAAGTAACAACGAACACCTAGTCAGTCATATGTAGATCAGGCCAGAGAGAGTAAAACGACAACACTGCTAGACAAAACACTACAGCGTAGGCTAAATTGAGCTATAATGGAGGAGAATACAAAGGAATGTCAAATTTACAACCCAGTGAAATAACACTCCAATTCAAAGCTCTGGAAATTGAATACCCAAAACAAGACGATGCTAGATCAGATGGTAGATGCCGAATTCAAACCCAAAATAGCGGATAAAACGAACTTAAGACGCTTGAAAAGGGATGTATTAAACCCTAATCATGGCGGATCACAAATTCTAGACCAACGCTTAACGATTTTGCAAGATCACACTATAAACGCAGGTATCGGAACTGGAAAACGAGACGATAACACCAGATAAACGAAAGGGGACTTAGATCGCAGCGATTGTTCACTGAATCTGAAAGCTGAATCGAAAACAAAATCAGAGAAAATCGAGTCGATACCTAAGAATTACCAAATCAAAGCTCGCGGGTTGAAGTGAGAAAGCCCAAACTACTGATTCCGGTGTAGAATAATGGAGCGCCGAGAGAAAGAAAGTGATTGGAAAATTTACTGAGATTTGATTTGAGAAAACTGAGAGAGATGAGCAGATATTCCGAAATTTCTGGCGAGTGAGAGAGGCGAGGGAAACTGAATATTTTTGGTTTCGCAAACACTGTAGCTAATTTGAGTGTATCTGCGACGCCGAAGTATTGGACGATTTTACCCCTGTGCTTTCTCAGAACTACATTACGTTGTGCCCGTCAGATTGAGGTGATTACAGGTGTCGTGATCTGCCTATGATTCTCACAATTTTGGCGCTCTAATTCGCCTCGTAAAAAATTTCAATCGTTTACAAACGAAGACGATTATTGCACGTGTCCAACTCTGTTAAACTTGACGGTCATGCACGGTGAGTTTAATAACCATTAAAAAGAGCCGTCAAATAATCCGGTGATATTAACGAGAGTTTTTTCGATGGATTTTGAAATATAAACAAACTTTATGTGGTGCACAGAAAAAACCAAAAAAAAAAACAAAGTTTGTTATTCAAATTTTTTTTATTTTGTCAAAACTAGCTCATGTATTATTCAATTTTTTGACATCATTACAAATTTTAAAAATAACAATATAATAGTTCAAATCCATGGATAAAACATGTTATTCAAAATTCATATATATACTTTTATGTCAATATCAAAAAAAAATAAAAAATTGAACTCTCACATAAATTTATACATAGAAGGTTGAATAAACCCTCCTAACATAGTACTCTATTTAACATTCTATGGTTAATTAGTTTATAAAAAAACTTGTAATATAATAGGTAATGTAATATTGATATGACATTACCGATTAATATAAGATCTCTCTATCAATTTCTTAACTAGTAAAGTAACTATGCTTCCGTAAGTCCATTAAATTAGTTTTTTGCTTATGTGTTGTAAGTGCCACTGTAATTTTGTCTATGTTTAAATGATTACCAACGGCTATCATATAAGCGAACACACAACTATGGAGGAATACATTTGTTTGTACAACTATAGATTTGAATTATATGATACATGTGGAAAGGAATTGATATGTGGTCTGTGGACATGTGGTTTATTCCTCCTCGGTTGTGTGATCTTCTAGACACCAACGTTGGCTCTAAAACCATTTAGAAAATAATCATTAACCCAAATATCTTAAAACTAATTTAGACATGCTGAGAAATTATGGTAGTACAACAACAAAACTCTCTACTAATTCAATAGATAACAAATATAAAAATATTTAATTATTATCACAAGTTGTACATTAGTTGAGCTTAGATTTAAAAAAAAAACAAACTAACATGATTAACTGAAAAAAATGGAAAAGAAAATAAAAACACTCGATTAAAAAGTGTCATAATGTGGAGAACGAGATTACGTCATATAGAATCCACAGAGACAAATTAAAATGTCACACAGTCCAGTGTGTTTGCTTTGTAAGAAACTAAAAATCCTTTTCAAGATTTGGTAAATCTATATACTAATACGATTCATGAATTGCGTGCGTAATCTAAAATCATATTATCGAGTATATATTTTAATTAGACGAAATATTATTATATAGTATCTATAAAAAGACACGCACGTAACATCTCGACTCAATACACTTGCACGCACGCATGCACCACGTATATATATCTTTACTTTATATATCTTCGTTTATAATAGTATTAAGTATTAAACCTTCACCACTGATAAACATATATAGTCATATAGAAGTCAGAAGACCTCCACTTGATTGCTCTCGCTCGTGAACTACGTAATCTAATACTCTTCTCTTTCAAAATTTACACATAGTTTGTAACTTTAGCTCCTTTCACTTATGGACGAATGAATTGTTTGCTAAGCCGTGTGTCGTATATATACGAATTAATTCGAGTCTGACGACTCAGCTAAGTAATCACGTCGATCAGTAAACTTTTTTGTAGTTAAAAGCATATATATATAGGAAACGACCATGCATGCAAAATATTCGATCTACATCAAAATTGAATATAACAACAAATTAAATTACATCGCTAGTAGGCTAAGAATTTAAATTCAGTAGTCATTCCGTTCATTACAGATATTACTTCTGAACTATAAATATTATAAATTCTTAAGATTTATATATCATATCAACCAAATAAAAAGGTTGATGACAAAAAAAAAAAAATCAACCAAATAAAAACAGAGCAAATGTACGTGTCATCTTGCAAAATATATTCTAAAAGTAACACATGCAAGATTTAAATTTGATGTATATGTTAATTAAATTATATGTGGAGTATATTATAAGTTAGTCATATACGTACGTACCTATAATAATGATGAATACAAACATATACTCCAATCAACAAGAAATGAAAGAATCCGATTATTTCATGTAATTTCAAAGCAAAGAGGGGAAGAAACAAAAGGCTATGATTAGTCCAACAAGAGGGGCTACAACAACAACAACAAAAAAAGCCACGAGACATGCAAATGCAATCACGCATCTTAAAAAGCAAAGCCCAAGTTTTGACTGACAAGCAACCACGACGCAGTAAAGCGGAGTTCTCAAAATTAGCGCATAGATAAAGTACTTGAACAATGTGTGAGAGTGTGTGTATGTTTCCAATAAAATGCTATTCTAAATACAGTAGTACTACTACGACTAGTATATAAATATAAATGCCACATTTATAATACTCTATATAGTATATATTTTGTTGGTGGAAATACAAAATAGAATGATATGAGTAGGCTCTTTTAAAAAATTGCAAAGAAAGATAGGGAAGATGTGAAGGAAAATAATAAAGGGGACAGAGAGGAGGCGGAGGCAGTAAGAAAAAAAATAAGAAAGTGAGGAAATTGTAATTTGTAGTGTTGTTAGGGAACATCTCTCCTTTATCCTTTTTTCTTCTTGATTCATTCTTTTTTGTTTCTTCAATTGGTTCCAACTAAGTCCACTTTTCTCCTAATCGAAAATATATCGAAACACGAATAAATTAAATTGAGGGGGGGACCAAGCCGGTTTCAGCTGAAGTGCGTCTATGTCTCTAATTTGCTTCCATGGTTCAAGCCAAACCAATTTTTGAATAAACCAAACTAACGCCATGATTGCGAGTTGCATGTTGTTGTGTTCTACGTAATATGACATTATATATAATTGCCAAAGATTCTTTTGATTCATCACATTGAATTTTCAATGGGATTAGTTTTACACTATATATAAGGCACGTATCCATTAAAATAAAGTTTTGATTCATAAGATTGAATAATATTCCTTCGTCAATGGAATTAGGTTTTACCATAAGGCACGCATCCATTGTACAATGTACATGGTTTGTGTTTGAGGGAGGCCACGTGGAAACAAAAGAAGAGCCACGTGGGGAATGACAACAAGTGTAGTCGTTGGTCGTTGTGTCGTGAGTGTGTGTGTTTCCTTTTTCTCGTGCTTGCAAATATGAGAATTGTGACGTCTCCTTCAGTTCCATAGACAAAGGAACTCTCATTAGGTCCTCTCTTTAAGGTGAACCCATTCATTACTTTTACTCATGCCCCCCTCCTCCTCCTCTCTTCCTTCACCTTTTTTTTTTCCTTCACCTTTTAATTATATATATATATAAATCTATTTATTTGGTTATTATTACGTCTAAGAGCTTCTCTTCTCGCTAATATGTTTATTACGTATGATATACATCATTATAGAGGCATGTTTTGGCCGGTTTGGAACTAACCGTTTAGAACGATATATTATGGCAGAGCTGGTTTAATTAGTAGAACTTTTTTTTTTGGTAAACTAATTAGTAGAACTTTGTTTAGGAAGTGTTCGTGTCTGTTTAATCGTTGTATGTATGATGAATGTAATTTATAAATAAGAAATGGAATACAATCAAATTTTATCTTCTTTTGTATCAATTGAATTTGAACAAATTAAGATTTACTTATTGGGTTTTGATTATTATCATAATCATTAATTATCTGGTGGTGGAACTAAACCCGCACTGTTTCATGTTAAATAATGACGTGGAGTCGAATCAGCGTAGGCTCAAACGTTTGTCATGCTTTGCATATAATGGGTCCTAGCTCGTATTAAGTTTCGTCATAATTTTTTTTTGAACTAATAAACTTAAGAGAGAAGTGTTTACCCGATGATTAAGCAAGCATTTACCTTAACACTTTTATAAAAAGAAAAAAATTAAGTGAATTTAAGTGTATCGAGGTTATATAAAAACGCGTAAATAATTTTGAAAATGGGGGTTGTAAAAGTAGTTCCACAAACGCCTCTATCCGCGTCACGATAGTCTCTTATGCATTGAACATGCCCATCGAACATGTCTTTGTTCATGCTATTGCCCAAACAAATCTTAAGTAAAATGAGCCAAACGAATCACCTTGTTTCATTTATGAATCACTTCTTAAAATTCAGAACCTACCTCTTTATTAATACTGCGTTTAGCTATAATCGAAGATAGCATTAAAGTTGAAATGCAAAAGAAGTAAAACCAAAACATTAATTAGAGAGAAAAACCCGAACCCACAAAATCATAACCAACACTTTGATCGAATAACCATTTGACACGTGTATCTGTCTGCTGCACTAACAACATCTTTTTAGCGGACGCTGTCTCATCATTCCATTCCACCGTCGCTGTTTAATTTTAGCGTATGAATTTCGAACCAAATACGAAGACAATAATAATCCATATATAAAAATCAATCTAAAAATTAAATTAAATAAAAAAATAATAATATTCCTAGCTAGTTTTTATCTTCTATATAAACACACACGTACAAACCAAGCATGGCGGCTCATTACTTATTTGTCTCAACCTAAAGTTTTTAATTAAAAGAAAGAAAAGGAGAGAGAGAGAGAGAGAGAGAGAGAGATAGAGAGATATGGGAAGAGGGAGAAGTTCGTCGTCTTCGTCGATAGAGAGTAGCAGCAAAAGCAACCCATTCGGTGGTTCGTCAAGTACTCGGAACCTAAGCACGGATCTGAGGCTCGGACTCAGCTTCGGTACCGGTACATCCTCAGGGACGCAATATTTCAACGGTGGCTATGGGTATTCCGTTGCAGCTCCGGCGGCAGAGGAGGCGGTATATGCGGCGGCTGTTGAGGAGGAAGAAGAGAACGAGTGTAACAGTGTAGGGAGCTTCTACGTAAAGGTGAACATGGAGGGAGTTCCCATTGGAAGAAAGATCGATCTCATCTCTCTTAATGGCTACCACGACTTGATCAGAACCCTAGATTTCATGTTCAACGCCTCCATTCTCTGTAAGTTTCACCAAAAATAAAAAGTTTCTATATATATGCAATGCATAAACCGTAACCATAGATAATACGAGTCTATACATCAGTCTTATGTCGATAAAAAAACATGTTGGCCTATCAGATCGGTTTATATGTCTTAGTTAATTTATTAGCAAATTTCTAACGAGTTTATTTCTTTTAAGTCTTTTTTTTTTCTACCAAGTTTCTAAAAGATAACACAAACAAAATACTTCCGCCCATTACTCTTCTTTTGTTTGAAAGCTTAATATCGCCCATCACTATTTCATAGGTTTTTTTTTTTTTTAAGCTTGTTTGTCAAAGTTATTATTATCTCATAGGTGGGAAGTTAGCGTTTATGTATTGTGTAAGGTATAATGGGTGAATAGTAAATATGATTTAAAAAAAAAAAAAAAAAACTGATGGAGAAAATAAAATTGAAATATATAGGGGCAGAAGCTGAAGAGGTGTGCAACGAGAAGAGTCATGTTCTAACGTACGCGGATAAGGAAGGTGACTGGATGATGGTTGGGGATGTTCCTTGGGAGTAAGCACTCTTATTAGTCCCTTTGTTTAGTTTAAAGTCTCTTAGATTATTTCCTTAATTAGATTGTTTTGATATATCATCCTTAATATACTTTTTTCTATGGGTTCTGTCTTTGATATAGGATGTTCTTGTCGACTGTGAGAAGACTGAAGATTTCGAGAGCTTACCACTACTGATACACTAAAAGTCTGCGTGCGTACGTACTTGTGTTTAAATCCAAGTAATTTGCCAAGAAACAAGTTTTTGTCTGTTGTAAATCAATGTGGTCGAATATTTATTATATTATTTTCGTATTTTTCTTTTGTGATAGTACATAAATTTGGAACTCAATCACTCTGATTATTATTCTCCTGATCTCCTCGGTTCATGTTGCGGAAAAAAAAGAAAATATATATCCGAGAAACAATCATGTGCTCCGGTGGATTTAGACCAATTAGATATTCAAATCATTGGTCATTGCATTTATATAATAAGTTGAATGTTTTTCATAAATGAGAACATGTTCAGGGGAAACAACAAATTCTCATCTGACATTTCCTATTTTGAGAAAGAAGATACTGGTCTTGTGGGAGTATATCATTTTATCAAGCCAAGGCTATAACATTACCTTCTAATTGTAAAATACCGATTCTAAATTATGATTAGATTTAGCAAACCGGTAATTGAGCCTAAAATACCACGATTATGTTAAGTGAACCAAACAAACCGAATCCATACATACAATCTTCTTCTTCATAGCGAAAATTTCTAATCTTATAGAGTTTTTGTTGTATCAACAAAGTAGAATCTTTAAATTAAAAAAATTTGAATGCCAACAAGTGTTCTTAAGATATTTCTTGTAAGATTAATAGATACATGTGTTAAGATTTATAGCCGTTGATTTTCATTCTTTAAAAGATCACAAAAACTCCAAAAAGTACCATTCGTGTTTACAAAAACTAAAATAAAGGAACACGTTCGTAGACTTAAACTTCGCTCAAAATCGCAAATACATATTTACAATGCTATGCTATATGAAACTAATATTTCTCACATTTGACAAAATTTCCTATAATCTCTTTCTAATAAATACCAAATAACTATGTTGAGTTATCATAACCATAAGGTTGGACCAGCCATACAGATCCTAATTTCTCATTATGCTTGCTACTGGTAAGATATAGCAAGTGCGGCTCCTGCAATGATTCCTGCACAGGTGCATGCAGTAGCTAGAACCACTGCAATAATGGGTTTGATTTTGAGGCAGCCATTTCCACGGGAGTGTCTCCTGGAGATCAGTTTGCAGGACTCATCAGCTTCTTTGTAAAGTGAACAATTGGCCCCTCCTTCAATTGTACAAAAACATCGCATCGCAGGTCAGGTCAGAGATGGAAATACAACCGTGCAAAGGGTGAAATTGGTTATAGCTTAGAAGAGTAAAGGGATGATGAGGTACCTTTAGCCTGAAGCTATTTATAGCTCGATTGACAGTGAGAGTATCACCTAGTGATGATGATAATTTAGAGTAATGATCCTTCCATTCTTCTACAAGCTTTCTAAGAAGAGCAACACTAGCTTCTAGATGCTCCTTATAGAGAATATCCCAGTCCTTAAAGCAAACGACGTTTTCTGTCAAAGACCGGATAGCGATTGCTGCAGCTTCCGTGGCTAGACCAGGATTTCCTGTAAAAACAGTAGCACATAAGAACTCCATTAGGAGAATAGAGAGAGAGAGAGAGAGAGAGAGAGAGAGAGAGGGAAGCAGAAACCAATCAGATCGTTGGTCATTGCATTTATATGATATAGTCTTTCTTGCTTTCTTGTATTTTCTATAAAAACTGTAATTGTTAGACACAACTATGAGTTATGAAAAAATTAAAATTTTGTCATCTAACAAATAAATAAAGATGTTATTTTATCGTCATACTATCTTCATAACAAACAAAAATGATATTTTTGGGATATTCTTGTTTTGAACACCCAATCTCAAATTGTATATACATTTATATCACACTACGTACCAAATAATAAAGGAGCAGATCATTTTACTCGAGATAGAAAAATACAACAACAACAGCAATAATATATATATAGCGGGGCATAATCGACCAAAAAAATAAAAATACATGGGGCAAAAAAGATAATTAAAGTTAAGAAGCTGCAGTGAGATGAAGCTGAACTAACGAAGCGTAAACTCCGTCTTGGATATTGATCAAACTCTCGTGTCTTCCTTTCTCAACGATAACGCCGTTTTTAACGACGGCGATTACGTCAGCATTTTTAATCGTCGATAACCGGTGAGCCACCACAATTGTGGTCCGGTTTACCATAACCCGGTCAAGCGCGTCTTGGACCACTCGTTCTGACTCGGCGTCGAGAGCACTCGTCGCTTCGTCGAGTAGCAATACCTTTGGATCCTTGACGATGGCTCTAGCTATTGCTACTCGTTGCTTTTGCCCGCCTGATAACTGAATTCCTCTTTCTCCCACCATCGTATCGTAACCCTAAAATCAGTACATATTATTTTCGGGTTATTTTGACCCGACCCGAGAACCATAACCACATTGATTTGGGAATTGAGTTTTTTTTTGTTTTTAACCTGTTGTAGACCACTGATGAATCCATGGGCGTTTGATAGTTCAGCTGACGATACGATTTCGGATTCACTCGCATCCCCTCCTTTGCCGTATGCAATGTTGGCTCTAATTGTGTCGTTGAACAATATTGGTTCTTGGCTCACAAGTCCCGTCTGCTGTCTCAACCATTTCAATCGCAGGCTCTTGATCTCTACACCGTCAAGAGTGATCTCACCTGAATCTGGATCGTAAAACCTCTGCAACAATGCGATCACCGTTGATTTCCCGCTCCCGCTTTCGCCGACCAAAGCAACTGTCTGAGAGGTGAGAAAAAAGAGAACAGAGATTGTCTCAAATCAAAGGCTCTACCTTTTGTTTTCTTCTTCAAAGAGTGATAAGTTTTGAATCCTAACCTTTCCGGCTCGAATGCTTAGACAAAGATCTTGGAATATTTGAACATCTGGTCTTGCTGGGTATTTGAAACTCACATGACGAAGCTCAATGTCTCCTCTAACATTGTCCAATACCCTTCCAGATTCAACACTCGGGTCAATCTTTGATTCCCTGTCCATGATTGCGAAAATCGACGCCGCAGCTACATCGGCTTTGCTTGAATCAGGAGATAACGAACTCGATTGAGATATCGCCATTGCGGCCATTGTCAAAGCAAAGAAAACCTGCATTGTTAATTAAAAAAAACATCATTAAGAATCAAGAACCCTATAAGCAGGGGACATGCATAGATCATCATTCTGTTGTATGTTTTGTTCTTATATACCCTGAAGACAGCGTCAAATGTTGTTTTGCCATCATCAACAAGGCGAGCTCCAACGTAGAAACTGGTAGCGTAAGAAGCGAAGAGGACGAAGAAAGAGAACCCGAAACCGATACCACTGACTATGCCTTGACGAATCCCTGTCTTCATTGGACCTTCACATTTCTTTGTGTACATGTTCATCACTTTGTCTTCTGCACAGAATGAAGCAACGGTTCTAATGCTCCCTACCGCGTCATTCGCCACTTGGCTTGCTTCCCCATACATTTTCTGCCAATGGTTACAGGTAATTTAATCGAATGATTGTGGCATAGAGAGAATCATCTAATTGTGTACTTATGGAAACCAGTAACTAGTTTTACCTTTGCATCTGCGCTGAAACCTGTCATGAACTTCATGTATAGAAATCCATTGAGTGCAATAAGCGGGAGCATCGCGAGGACAACGAAGGATAATTGCCAACAAGCCAAGAACGCAATGATCAAACCAGCCAATATAGATGAAAGATTTTGAACCGTCTGAGCCAAAGCATCCCCTACTAGACCACGGATTGTGGCTGCATCTGCTGATAGCCTTGCTCCTATGGTTCCACTTGAATTCTCTGGCTCGTCAAACCATCCAACTTCCATGTGAACCACTTTCTCAAAACACATACCTCTGATCCTCTGCACCAATTTACATCCAGCTATGCCAAAGAAGAACGTTTGTGCTGGGTATGCGATGATGGATGCGAAACCAAGCACCATGAATATGATTGCCCAGAAGCTTGTATCTTCTTTTAGCTTTTTAGGCGGTTGGAAAAATGCTTTGATTACACTTGAGAGTAGTATCCCAAAAAGAGGAAGAATAACACCGTTTGCTGCTGCGGATATTGATCCGAGTATAAGTACTGGAATCTCGGGTTTGTTTAGAGCAGCTATTCTGAAAATTGAGACTTTCTTTTGTTTGGTTTTCGGTTCTGTAGCAGACTCTTCTTGATCTTGAGCGTCGTTTCCGTCAATTCCTGCTGGAAAGCCAAACATATTGAAAGAATGGCGGCTGCTGTTTCCTCTGGATGATCCTCCTTTGCTTAGAGATCTGCCTAGCGACGATTTTCTCAAACTAGATTGTTTGAATGATTCAATCGATGACATCTTTTTCTCATCCGATGCATTCTCATCGGATTTCTTCTCTTCTTGTAGCCGAATCAGCTGAGAATACGCTCCTTCTGTGTCCTTTAGTAGTTCCGTGTGAGAACCTGTTCATCAAATTGGCCAAATCAAATAAAATCACATACACATATCTTTGAGTGTATAAGAATGTTAACTAGTTTACCTTTCTCTACTATCTTTCCTTGGTGAATCACAGCGATCATATCTGCGTTTCTCACCGTGCTTAACCGATGAGCAACCACAATTGTAGTTCGGTTAACCATGATTCTGTCAAGTGCTTCTTGAACCACTCTTTCAGATTCTGCATCAAGTGCACTTGTAGCTTCATCCAAAAGCAAGATTCTTGGATCTTTTAAAATCGCTCTAGCCACAGCTATTCTCTGTTTTTGTCCACCTGAAAGCTGAGTTCCGTGTTCTCCCACCATTGTATCCAAACCCTGTGGAAGCTTATCCACGAATTTAGATGCGTTTGCTAGCTCTGCAGCTGATTTAATCTCTTCGATTGTCGCGTCTTCTTTACCGTAAGCGATGTTATCCTTGATGCTAGCAGTGAACAAAACTGGCTCTTGACTTACAAGTCCAATCTTGCTTCTGATCCATCTTAGCTGAAACTCTTTCAAGTTAATCCCATCTATGAGAACTTCACCGGCTTGTGGATCGTAAAACCTCTCAATTAGACTCACAACAGTAGATTTCCCGCTCCCACTCTGTCCAACTAAAGCCACCGTTGTACCACTCGAGACAAACAACGAAAATCCACGGAATATTTGCTCCTCGGGTCTAGCAGGGTAAGTGAAATAAACATCTTTAAGCTCAATATCTCCCTTGATGTCATCCAAAACTTTACCGTCTGTACTATAAGAATCTATGTCAGGTTTTCTCTCTATTGTCTCAAACATCTTGTAAGCAGCTGCTTGTCCAGCTGCAAACGCGCTTAGGCAAGGCGATGCTTGACCTAACGACCTAAGGAAGGAATAAAACAAACCTCAAAATTATGGTCTCAAAAGAGTTAAATACACAAAAGACGCATTGTTGAAAAAAGGTCCTTACATGGATCCAGTTAAAACAGAGATGATGACATTAAGAACTTGTCCTCCTGTGTACCCTTTATCCAGTATTAGCTTTCCTCCATACCATACCGCTAAAGCGTAACTACAAAAGATAACAAGAAAGAGTGTTCCTAGTCCCAATCCAGTTGAACCACCTTCAATGACTCCTGCTTTGTAAGCAGAGACCAGATGTTTATTGTAATTGCTTATAGCTTGTTTCTCTCCAGTAAACGAAGCAACCTGTAAACAAAAAAAGAAGAACCTAAGTCTATGTGGTTTTGTTCTTTTTGTCTAAGTAATTGTCTATAAGTAAGCTTAATTACCGTTCTTATAGAACCAATTGTTTGCTCAACTACAACCGCAGCTTTCGCGTAAGCAGTTTGTCCACGAGAAGCTGTTTTAGCAATGACGATAGCCAGAAGAGCACCAGCCATTACAAGAAGAGGAATTGAGGATAACATGACCAAAGTTAGAAGCCATCCTCTAATGAAAGCTATCACAAAGCCTCCCACAAATGTTGATACAAGTTGTATAGCTTTCCCCACCTGCCACAACAAAACAAGTTTGAAACTTTATACAGTAATAGAGAGAAGACGTTTTGAAACTTTATAATGTTTTGTTGACATTTTGAAGTAGCTATACCTTCTCTCCCATGGCATCTTGGATTAGCACAGTGTCACCGGACATTCTTCCAACGACTTCTCCTGTATTTGTATCGATGTCGAAAAAGGCGATATCTTGTCTTAAGATAGTTTTTAGATACAAACTCCTTATTCTCGCTGCTTGTCTCTCTCCCGAAATCATCCAACCAGACAATTCTAATTAATTCAAAGACATCAAAAACGTTTTAACACTTTGTTTTCTTGAAATCTGTAAACAAAAGTTTTAAAATCCAATAAACCAACTTACGGAGAAAAGCAGCCACAAAAGTACCGATTCCAAGCCAAACAAACTTCAGAGCAATCTGTGAGTGAATTAAGAAAACTATAGTTTAGCAAGTCAACTCCTGAAATCAATCTTAACTAAAGACACAGAAACAAGGATCGTTTGTATGATTTACTTTGGAGACTTTGTCGGTTGTATCAGTCTGATTCTGTCCAAAAGCATCTATAAGGTCTCCGAACAGTAAGGTCATGATAGGGAAGCCGAGACCATTTCCGATAGATCCAAGCGTCCCGAGGAACATCAAGAGGAAATCAAAGGAATCTGCAAAAGCAAAGAGCTTGTAAAACGGCACCGATTTGGTTTTCTCATCATGTTCTTCCTTGTTCTTCTTCTTCTTCTCTGTTTTCATAGTTTCTCCTTCTTCTTTGCTGCCTCGTTTGGTCTCAGAAACCTCTTCAACTATATTTGAATCTCCGTTTACGCCGCTCTCTGAAGCCATAAGATTTTCACAGGTGCCTTATGTATGATCGATCCTAAGCATTAAAAAAAAAGAAAAAAAAAAAGAGGAGAGATATAAATAAGTGTTCTAAATCTGTGACTTATCTATGAATCGAGTTCATCAAAGAGTAGAGTAAATAGGCAACATAAAGGTGTCAGGCCAAGAACAAATGAAAAAGAAAAAAGAAAACAATACGTTGAAACCAAAACAAAGACTTTAGACAGCCCAAAACCAAAAGTTTCCTTTAGATTCAAGATCAGTCTTCTGTCTTCACCAACCATGAAAACAGTCTAAAGATCGGTTTTTGTATTATTATATCTAAATCCTTTTATTTATTTATTTTGTTTCAAGAAAAGAAATGATGAAACCTGACGCAAGATCTCTATCAATTACATCAAGGCAGCAACATAAGTTACGGTCCAGACAAATTCTAGAAGCATACAGCAGACAGAGTTTTTAGTGGGAAGATAAAGCAGAGAATCATATAATATAGTAATGATATGTACCTGGAATCTAGGAATCAAGAAGAAAGCTGGAAAAGTGAGAAATAAAAGAGTTTAGCGACTTCTTGGTCGCTCTCTCTGTAGTATGAAACGATATAAGAGATCTATCTGCTTACATATATTTTCTATATATGATTTGTAAGATTCATGTGAGTGTTTATATATGCTCTGTTTTCTTGACGAACAAGCCGTGACTTGCTCAAGAGAAAGAGAAAATGAATGTCAAACAATTAATTATATGTTATTTAAAAAGTCATTTGTGGAAATCAATCAACAGATATGGTCTTTACTTGTGTGTATCTAATATGCTAGATTTATGTGAAGCCAAAACACAAAAGATTAGGATTTTTTTTTTTATATATAAAAGAAATTGCAATACGTAAGATATCTTTTTCATTGTGTTGATTTTTAAATTATATTCTCTGACCATTCTTGTCTGATAATGGCAAAAAAGACGAATTGATCGTATAACGACTTTATAACGAGTAGTCTTAGCTGTTTCCTTCAACTACAACTCTGTTTACTACTATTATTTTAACATGAAGTAGTTTTGCTACGCTAGGACCGCATGATTTTTTTTTTAAATTTTATAAAATAAAATCTCCATCATTATATAAACTGATCAGTGGTAATTATTTAAAAACTGATCAGTGGTAATTATTAAAGCCAATTAGCTAGCTATGCTATTTAGCAGCTTCCATTTGTCATCCTAATTCAGTTTTCCCATTATTAAAACTCAGAATTTGTGTGAACTGGGATCAATACCACCAGTAAAAGCAGAATATTATATATATAATGTTCTTTCATACGCTATAGTTGACTTTTTCTCGTTCGGATTAGTTGTGAATTGTGAACAAATTGACAAGTGCAAAAATCGCATTTCTCACGATGGTAAACATAATGTCATCATAATTGCGTTTTGCCAACGGATGCCATAGAGAGAGCCATATGCGCATTGTAATGATGCAATGCAATGTATTGTACTAATTTTCTAAGTTAATAATAAACGCGAAAATCAGACTCCCATAAATAAATGTAGATGTCACTACTAGTAGTTGTACATATATAATGTATTTAAGCCAAAACATTATACTAAAATATATAGATTTGGAGTAGTAGTACCAATCCCACGTGAAGCTGATTTATCCCTTTATGAGCAAGAAACATTAATATTAAAATCGTTCAATATAAAAGAAAGTCAAAAAATGACCTTTCTTTGGTATTTTCCAGGGAAGCAGAGTGAAGAAGGAAGAATGGTCTATCCGTTTTCACTTCGTTGGCGCATTATTCTCATTCATCAGAATCAATGAATCTTATCTCGAAAAAAAAAAAGTCTCTTACCACTTACTATAATAAAAGAGCCAGCCTGACGTCATTCCTGACATATGCTCTTTCTTTCTTTCTTTCTTTCTTTCTATATATCTATCATCTACCCACGTACGCGTATGTATATAATACTACTTACTACTTGGGGAATACGTTTATCAAATAGTACTACTACTACTACTTTTCTAAGAAAGAAAATTAAACTACTACTTGCAATATTTTTCCAAAACATTGATGCAACAAATGACTACACCCTTTATACTATCGTGTGAGGCGCTTATCATATCTTTTTTTATGGAAAAATTGATTTTAAAGGATTTTTAATTTTTAATTTGTTTATCTTTTTTTTTATATATATTCCAATTAACTTTATTGATGAGATTATTCAAGGCCATTATTTACAAAAAAAAAGGAATTATAAAAACAGAATAAAACAAAAAAACGTGTTGATTAGGCGCGTTGACCTATCTGAGCGTGGTCGTCGAGTCGAGGCATCTCGGTCGCCAACACTGCCGTCCGAAGATGTCGGTTTAGCTGATTGATGTTTTCCGGCGCATTTCCACAGCCAATCGGTTCGGTTTTGGTCGAATCAGCGGAACCGAGGGACTTGGAAGCATTGGAGGCCTTTGTTTCATACAGCTCAAGAAACATAAAATCATCTTTCCATATCATTTATTTGATCGTTAACGTCGCTCGTTAAGCTGATCAAAACTCTTTTAACTCTTGTTCTTTGATGAGTCATCGTCGTCAAAGCTGGGAAAGAAAGTTTGAGTCGCTCGGGTCGGGTTGCCGTTTTTCTTTTTTACGAGTGTTTCAAGTTTGCACTTTTTTTTACAGTATGTGTTTGTTTTTGCAGTTGTCTTTTTGAGTTTCGAGTGAACATTATACCTTTTTATTCTATTTGTTCAACAGTTTCGTACTTTGACATTTGTTTCGACCATTTTGAGTGTTTCGACTACCAATTCGGACTAGTTTACGTTTTCATTTGAATATTTAGTTTACAGTTTTAAACCTCTGCAATTTCTTTATTAGCTTTTGTTATGTCTAGCTAGCGATTTTTTTGTTGGTAATTTTATCCCTCCGTTCCACGACGCTCATTTGTCTCACGTTCTACGCTCGTAGAGGGCCTAATTTATACATTCATCTATACCATTCACACTCTAATTATCTAACATTCACACCCTAAACCCTAACATTCATCTATACCATTCACACCCTAACAGACATCTATATCATTCACACCCTAACATTCATCTATACCATTCCCATCTATAACATTCACACCCTAACATTCCCATCTATACCATTCACACCCTAACATACATCTATACCATTCACACCCTAACATTCATCTATATCATTCACACCCTAACATTCATCTATACCATTCACACTCTACACAAGTATACATCTATGCCTAACATTCATCTATTTTTTTTCCTAACTCTCATCTATACATTGCACACACACTGCATTGTATCGTTATCAGGAAAGAATAAAAAAGAAAATACAAATATTGCTGCACGCACAGTGTCTGTAGCTTCATGGAAAACGCCACACAGTCCTAAGGCATTTTGGTTCTCCTTCTTCAAACCTCTGCAAAACTATTAAACCCAAAATCAAAACTCATTACAATCGTTTTCTCAACATGCATATTTTACAGAAAAATCTAAAGCATTTTACAAGTCAACAAATCCTTTCTTTCTATTTCATAAAAAGTGATAATCTCATTCTATGTTTTCTTAGACAGAACATATACAAATATAAGCCTTTCTCAATTTTTTATTTAAAAACATATAGAAATATTTCTAACTAAAAATTTCAGATTATGGGACAGGTCATATGATTAAAATTCAGTTTAATGTCTACAGCGTTAAAGTTAAGCCATACAAAATGGATTTAAAACAGAGCCTTTAGATTTTACGATAAACTCCATACATACAAAATGATCTAACATGTTAATGGTAAACAAACTAGAGGAACTAGACAAAGAGTACTTTACCTTGTAAGAAGATGAAGCTTTGTCCCGCTCGGCTAGAAACATAGATAGATTGAGTGAGGACTCCAAAAGCATGGAAGAACAGAAGTAAAGAGATAAAAACAGATTTTGTAGTACTCGACATTTGTAAGAATATTATGAAACCAAGTAAGAGGGATTCAGATTTCTGACCCAAGAAAGGAGTATTTATAGAGTGAGAGAGAGTGAGAGAGTCATTTTCTAGAAGTTCTGTAAAATAAAAAAATATTAGATTCAAACGGTAAAAAATGTTACCGTTGTGGTCATATTGTTCTGCTCTGAAGTCAAATCAAAACGAACGTTGGAACAATTCAAGTATACTTTATCTTTATTCAACGTTCATATATCTTTTTTGCTATTATTAATCTTTTGTAATCCAAGTTCATGAAAATCAATATTGACCCGCCCCGGGAAATCTGGATCTTGTTGAATTTGAAAACCCAACCTACCAAACTTCTATACTGCGGACAGAGCCCATATTAGCCCATGGGCCTAGTGACATATTAGAATGCACAGATAAGACGCAAACTTTTAAACCCATCTCTGAACTGAGAAGAGAAAGTTCGAAACTTTTATCATGTTAAGTTCTCTAGAGTGCAAGCAAGCAATCAACAACAATTGTACATTTATTATGATTGCATTCACAAATCAAAACACCGGTTATTTCTGGTCCACTCTTAATGAGGATTTCACCTTGATGAATTTGAATCACAGGATTCGGTTTTTCACCTGAGTTCGAGATGATCACTTTGAAGGCAATGCATATTAGAATGTACGTACTATATGATCAAAACATTTAAATGCATTGCTTTGATCTGGATCGAAAAGAGCAAGTCATGGGTCTACTCCCTCAATAATCGCCACTAAGATAACAAAGAAGGCTAACAGCTTCTTTGACTTTTGGAAGCATTCATTCATTACAGATTGAATCATTAACCAACTACCACTACAGTCCACTCAAAATGAAAAAGCTTATATAGATTAACAAAAAAACTAAGGAAAACTAAATGCACAAGCATAGGAAAAAACTAATGCAGCAATTGGCTCTATCCGTGATAACCTTGCTTCTCCTGGTTCATGGGCACGAAGGATCAGCGGTTGGAGATCCGGGGATGAAGAGAGATGGTCTCAGAGTCGCGTTTGAAGCTTGGAACTTCTGCAATGAGGTTGGCTTCGAAGCTCCTCACATGGGTAGTCCTCGAGCCGCTGATTGCTTCGATGTCTCCTCTAAATACAGCAAAGCACACATTATGTTGAATCATTCACCACACATAGATGACCAATCAAATACCGCAACAAGTAAACTTCTTCTTCTTCTTCTTCTTCTTCTTCTTCTTCTTCTTCTTCTTCTTCTTCTTCTTCTTCTTCTTCTTCTCCCTCCTCTGTTTTCTCTGTTTTTAAGCTATAATTTCTAGCAGGTGGGTATTCCTTGGCGCACAAGGTATCAGATTCGGATAACGAGCTAGGGATAGGAAAGCCTAAACCTGGAATCATATCAGAATTAGCATTGCATAACCCTGACCTTTACGCGGTCGAGAAAGAACTCTACCTAGGCTCTCTCTGTCAAGTCCCAGACAAACCAAACCCATGGAGTTTCTGGATGGTCATGCTCAAAAACGGAAACTACGACACAAAATCTGGTCTTTGTCCTCAAAACGGCAAAAAGATCCCACCTTTCAGTCAACCCGGATTATTCCCCTGTTTCGGCAACGGCTGTATGAACCCACCGACGCTGAACCACGGAAAGACCGAGCTTCTGGGAGATGGTCAGACCATGAGGGGATGGTTCAATGGTACGTACGAGCTAGAAGCAGATTTGGGAAATGGGTTGGATGGGATAAGTTATTATGAGGTTGTGTGGGAGAAAAGAGTTGGTGTTGGTGGTTGGGTGTTTAAACATAAGCTTAAGACTTCAGCTAAGTACCCATGGCTTATGCTTTACCTCAGAGCTGATGCCACTAAAGGATTCTCTGGTGGGTACCATTATGACACTAGAGGAATGCTCAAAACAGTAAGTAACAGTACTAACTTTAAACTTCTTTTGTAAACTTCTTTTTTATTCTTGTCTTGAAAAGAATATCTAACCAACAAATGTTTCAATTAGTATTTCGTCTAAAATTTGCTCACAAGTAGTGATATGTGAATTTGGTTTAGCTTCCGGAGTCGCCAAACTTCAAAGTGAGACTAACACTAAATATCAAACAAGGAGGAGGACCAAAGAGTCAATTCTACCTAGTTGACATCGGAAGCTGCTGGAAAAACAACGGCCAGCCCTGCGACGGTGACGTAACCACCGACGTAACTCGATACTCGGAGATGATTATAAACCCCGAAACAGCAATTTGGTGCAACCCCAAGAGTCTACACAATTGTCCACCGTACCACACGTTTCGAAACGGCACCAGAGTCCACCGTACGGACCAGGGGAGGTTCCCTTACGAGGCTTACCATGTTTACTGTGCGCCTGGAAACGCAAAGCATCTCGAGCTTCCGGTGGGGACTTGTGATGCTTATAGTAACCCGCAAGCTCAGGAAATTTTACAGCTTCTGCCTCACCCGGTTTGGGGTGAATATGGGTATCCGACCCGGATGGGTGATGGTTGGGTGGGTGACCCGAGAACTTGGGAGCTTGATGTTGGTGGCTTGTCCACTAGGCTTTACTTCTACCAGGTGACTGATTGATTCTTTGAACCGGTTGGTTCGTTTATTTAATTTATCGTTGTTGTTTTCTTTTGATATATCCGGTTTCGGTTTATGTTTGTAGGATCCCGGTACGACTCCGGCGAGGAGGATTTGGACATCAGTGGATGTTGGAACGGAGATTTATAAAGAAGATGAAGCAATTGCAGAATGGGATCTCTCTGATTTCGATGTTCTTATTACTTGATTTAAAAAAAAAATCAATTCTATACTATAAATAAATATTATTATTAGGAAATTCATCAATAATTCCCATTCTTGTGTTAGCATTATTAAACTTCTGAACCAAACCAAAAGTTTGTTTTACCCTAAAATTAAACCAACCAGAATGAACTAACTTTTTTTTTTTGTCGACGAATGAACTAATTTAAACATAAACCAACCAACGTTACTAATTTTACTTTCAAAAAAATGTATAGTGTGTGTACTTGCGATGTGCTTTTGGGTCCTACCACGTGGCAGCTTAATTATTTCTCTACCTTACAAAGTAGAACCCTCTGGCTAAGTTAGAGAGTTACCAATACCAAGGGAATTGATTAATAATGGGTTGTACTCCTTTTTAGCCAGATCGCGCAGTACAAGACTTTGCAAAACAAGGGAGTACAGATATTTCTGGTGAATTCTTGTGTAGTACATCACAAAAGGCGTACGATTCCATAATCTATTTAAACCCTACGAAATAAACACAAACACAAACAAAGTCACTCAATGACCTGGCCAATTTCTAAGGGTACAACAAAGACGAAGACAAAGTGGTAATGAGATAGACAGGGAACAAGCAGAGCATGGATTGAGTTTACTAAAACACTATACCACTGTGTTTTGTCTCTACCCATGCACTGCCTCTTCCCTGGCTCTCCCTCTTTCTCTCTATTTCTTTCTCTCCTTTAAAATTTCCCAGCTTTCAATGGATTCTATTACTACTGCTAACGGTTGTGACAAGCTATGGGTTTTGTGGGTCTGGTCTACCTCTGTCTGTGTCATTCATGAAGTTGAGCTGAAAGAAGCAATTGCGTCCATTTCTTGACGTAAGAGAAGGGCATCAATGAACATGTCCAGATTTTCTCCCTGCATCATATCTTCAATGGCATGGTGAGTGATTCCCACACGGTGATCCGTCACTCTCCCTTGTGGAAAATTGTACGTGCGGATTCGTCCAGATCGATCTCCGCTGCCAATCTATTATTGAGATTACGCATCCATCAGGTAGGAAATAATTTTTTTACTGAAAACATAATAAAAACATTGTTTATTTCATATGTACCTGTTCCGACCGTAGCTTTGATCGACTGCTCTGTATTCTCAACCTTTCAATTTCATAGAGTCTTGCACAGAGTACTTTTAGTGCTTTGGCTCTATTCTGTTACAAAAATATGAAAATTTCAATACAATGTTACAATTTGAGGGAGTGAACTAGTGAAGGGTAGTGCGTAAGATGAATGTTTACTACCATATGTTGTGATCTTTCATCTTGGATTGAGACCATCATCCCGGTTGGAAGATGTATTATTCGGACTGCGCTGTTTGTTGTGTTGGCGTGTTGACCACCACAGCCACCAGACCTGTAAGTATCAATCCTCAAATCTTCATTCCTTAGCTGAACATCTACCTGTAAGTAGCCACCAGTAAGACAGATGATGTAAGACTATATAAGTTTGTAACTCGTAATATTAATCGATAATAAAGGTAATAAAAGAAAATGCAAGTTTGTAATATGATGTCAAAGCTAAGATTGGAGGAACTTTGTTACCTCATCAGCCTGGGGAAGGATGGCAACAGATACAGCGCTGGTGTGAATTCGTCCAGATTTTTCTGTGATAGGAATACGCTGTTGAAAGAAGTTTAAGTGTGAGTAACTAGAGAACGTTATGTGAATATGCATGAAGAGTCGAGAAAAATAAGAACGTGATCCATATATAAACATACCTGAACCCTGTGAATACCACTCTCGAACTTAAGTTTTCCGTAAACACTAGCTCCACATATTGCAGCACTGGCTTCCTAGCAATTACATTCAACATCTTAGCTGCACTATAACAGAGCTGTAGTGAAATGCTAATAATCACAGGAAGAAGAACATAAAAGTAACGAACTTTATATCCTTTCATATCCGACTCGGTGATGTCTACAATTTCAAACTTCCAACCCTTCTTCTGTGAATATCTTTCATACCTATCAATATTCCAAAGCCATATATATAATTAAAAATACGATAAGAAGAAGGATACTCGCTTCTACCAACAGTATATGGATGAACTTACATTCTGAATATGTCCATGGCAAACAAAGAAGCCTCTTCTCCTCCAGTACCTAACCAAAAGATCCCGATCTTGATCAAAATGGAAAAACTACAGAGAGCCTTTTGAAGTTTATAGATGAAGTTGGAAGCGTTAAGAAGCATAAGTGTACCTGCTCTCACCTCCAAAATGCAATCCCTCTCATCAGCCTCATCTTTAGGAAGCAAAGACTTAAGCAATAAAGTTTGAAGTCTTTTTTCTTCTTCCATGGCTTCATCTAATTCACTTACAACCATATCAAGCATATCCCTATCATCTGAGCATTCCGAGACCAGGGATCTCAGTCCATCAATCTCCTGCCAAAAAGAGTAAAAACCTAATCAATCAAATGATGATTTCTGGGAGGAGATAGATACAAAAATTCACAACCTTTTGTTTGGCCCTCAAATCAATGATCAGCTCCATTGAATCTCTCAGCTTACGAAGCTCCTTATTAGCTCTTGAAAACTCTTCTGGTGAGTACTCAGGCTGTCTTCGAACAAGAGAAAACACAGTTTATGGATCATGTCAAAATCAACAAGCAAAAGGAAAGGTTAATACAGCAACGAGCTTAATCTCCGGATTACCTGATTGATAAGCTTCTGAAGAAGAGCATTTCGGTGTTCTATGGCCGATAACCTCTGATCCATTATCCTAATAAGATCTGGAGACAACTGAGGTTCCATTTCTGCAATCATAGATCCAAAATCAGTCAACACTAAACTCGAGTTCAGTGCAATCGTTAATCAGAAAACACTAACAAGCTGATTGATTGATTGATTTTGGAGAATAGAAACAAACGTACCGGTGGTGTACAGACGAACCATCGTGGACGAGAGAAGCGATCGTATGCTACGATCGTTTACTTGCGTACCTCTCGCGCAAAATCTAATCAGATTACTCAACAAATGTGCCCGAATCAACCTCATATTTCTCTTATTAGCGGAAATTGTAGAATTGTTTTTCGATCTGTTTGGTTGATTAGGTACCAGAACTTTTGTCGGAGGTCGGTTTCTCTCGTCGCCGTCGAGACAAAATAAAACTCAGGTTATGTCGAGGTTTTTGGTATTTTCGCAATTCCAAATCCTAATAAGGGTAAGTTCGTCATTTGATCTAACCTTGAGAATTTGTGATTAACTTCTCTAAATAGTCATTAAGCTATAGCTGACGATAAAAACATGAAATATCTTTCTTTCACCTGTTCAACAAAACAAAAAACATGAAATATCTCTAAAATAGTCGGTCATTAAGTAATCATTTAAATAAATTACAGAACTGACGATAAAATAAAATATTGTAAATTTTTAACAAGATTGTTAAACGTAATGTATCAGAACAAATTTCATATTTCTAAAACATGAAAATAAAATCGTAATTCAAACAATATAAACTTTTCTTGAGAATTCCTTTCATCTTTTCATACGTGAGACAAATAAAAAGCAAATTTTACAACTTTATTTCCCCCACGCATATTATAACCCTATAGAAAATAACATTGTATTTTCACCTTTCACATGAGCACGTACTACTTTCTTTTATATATATAAAGTGTGATTCATACGCTTTATAATCCAAGCGTGACAGGAACATTGGCTTCTTGAATCCAGTTAATCGGACCTAACCAGTTGGGAACAGCGAAGTCATTGACCTCAGCTGCAGATCTGGCGATCTTAGCCCAGTTAGCTCTTCTGTTATTGATAGCTCCTGGTCCACGGTTGTTGTACTCAATGTACTTACATGACTCGTGGAAACTTTCCCCATCCCAAATCCTCCAACCTTCTGGTCTAATCAAATCTCCCATCTCGGTGTTGACAATCACGGTGGTCGAGAATTTCTTCCACGGCCTTCCCAAGTATGACGCCACGGTCAATCTCTCTGGTGTTAGTTTTCTGTCTGGAACGATGCGACAGTTTTGGAGGACGATACCGATTTTCACCGCGAAGCCAATTTCATTTCCATCAGCTGTGACCGTGTTGTATTGTCCCTTGCTTCCTTTACGGACAACAATGAGTGAGTTTTGGATCACAGTTGCAGATTTGCCGAAGATGAAGTCGACTGTTCCTGAAACGACACAGTTTCTATAGAACTGACGACCGTTGTTCACGTACAAGGTGTCTTGGTAACCGTCGAACCTACAGTTGAAGATCACGGCACGGTCTCCGTTAACTCTGATAGCCGCGGCTTGGTGTCCCAAAGGACCGGCGGTGTTCTTGAATCCTATCCATTTCGCCATGAATCCTTCCGATTCAACCTCTGCACGCGATAATATATAGAAAACATGAATTATGTAGGAAAAATTATCTAGTTAGTTAGAATTTAACGAGACTTACGAACTGTGGCACTAAGGGATGTGGTGGTTCCAGGGCTGAGACCAACACTTCTGTTGTAAGTAATGACGGTCTTTCTTGCACCATCTCCGAACATGAAGATGTTGTTCTTCTTCTTAGGAATGATTACTTGCTCTCTGTAAACACCCGCCTTGATGTGGATGATGCATCGCCCTGGGTTTTTCTCAGGACAAGCATTAACGGCTGCTTGAACCGTCTTAAATTGTCCGCTTCCGTCCTTAGCCACCACAAAGGTCGCTCTGATGCTACCACTACCGCCGCCACTACGGCCACGTCCAGCCCTAGCCATGAGCTTCCTGTCAGCACCTGAAACCCATGTTGGGATTTTGGTCTGGTCCATGTCTTCAAGAAGACGACGAGCAGGACCATCTGGGTCGGCAACGGGAGATTCATCAACAACAGGAGGGGCTCCTTTGTTTACAGGAGTTTCGCCTGTTGTGTTCTTGAATTCGTCAACCTTGTTGTTAAGCTTGGCCATAGCGCTAACGACAGTGTGGAAGATGTCAATAGCGTTTCTAGTGAGAATCTTGGAGTCTACAATGCCATCTTCAATCGTCTTTCGTAAATCTTTTTCTTCAATATCGTCAAGACAATCAGTTTGGTAATTGTAAACACCTGTTATCCATTGTTTAAGCTGGTCGAATTTGCTTCCGATCTGGTTAAGATCTTCACCCATTTCCTCAATAATGGTGGCGAGATCCTCAAGCGCGTACATGAAAACTCGCTTGCAGTAATCAAGAACGGCTTTGTTGTTTGGTGAGATGCTCGAGCCCATGTTTCCTTCGGTTTTACCCGTGAAGTTAGATGATTTGGTTATTGCGTCTTTTGTAGCGAGCAGGAATGCCTTTATCAGTTTGTTTGGGTCTTCACTCTTGACCGGCTCGAGAGTTTTGACACATGAGGCTTTGTCGGAAGTCGACTGGCAAATTCCTTGAACCGCTTTCATCTGCGGAGACAGATTAGTATCACCATTTTTGTTCATGAAGGCAACGACTCCTATGACTACTCCGACTATTAAGAGGATGGAGGCTACCGAAACAACAACTTTTCCGATCATTTTTTAGATTTTTTTTTTTCTCCCTCCGGTTTTATTTAATGGTTAATCGGAGAGGGATGGGCTTTATTAGATAAAAGCCAAGTTCTTGAATGACTTTGGCCAGTAGATACTGCGATGGATTCTCGAGGTTTATATAGAAGCATTTTAGTTTCTAAAATTAGGAACGTGCATGGATTTTGCATGGTGAGGGATCGATGTGAGGTTGACGATTGGCTGAAAATATTGGGTCAAAAAGGCTTTAAATAACGGATGACAAAGGATTTTGATAAATTTGCAGTTCCAAATCTTAATAAGCGTAACTTCATCCATTCAATCTATTGTCTACAATTTTGGGATTAACTTCCTAAATAGTCATTAGTATAAACTAAGTCAAATGGTATGATTTAAAATCTGTTTAATTTTTACAACCGTTTTCTTATATAAACTTTTAATTAATTTTTTTTGTTAGGAATTCAGATAATAGATCTAAATAAAAATGGGAAAACAAATTATATTTTTGTAAATTTTTAGTTATCAATTGTTTCTATTCAGTAACAAGATCTTCAATCCAATTAATTTTCCCTATCGGTTGGTAAATTTATTATTAAAGTTTTCTCTATTTAAAATATGGAAACTAAATAAATCAACTTGAAAACAAACAAAAATGAACGAAAAGTTGTTAAAAAAATTATATCAATATTTTAGGATTACATGCATAAATAGAGGAGAAAAACACAATGAGATGCAAATATTTGACCTTTATTGTTTCAAAAAAAATATATTTGACCTTTGTAGGTAGGTCGGTTAAATAAGATTTTTGCGAGGGTTTATGATGTGAATATTAGTTTGTGGATACAATTCGCAGTTTACAACTTGAGAAATCTCCTTCTCCTGTTCCGACAATAGTATCTAAAGAGAATCAATCAAGATGTACGATGTAGTACTTGTTCATATGAAGCATCATTATTTTATAAAGATGTCTTTTTACGTTGTTTTTGTGGAACTCCTAATCAACGTTATTTGGAAAATAGATAGGACAATCAACTAGCCGTTGGGAAAGAAGATTAGTATCTCTGAAAATATGTAGATACATAGCATTGAGTTAAAAAGAAAAACCAAATTCTTTTGAAAAGTTTCCTTTTTTATATCTTTGGGGTAAAAAAAAAATAGAGGAATTGACTACAGCTAAGTGATGTCTTCTAGGAAATAATGAGTCATATTTTTGCTGTGTGATTTCAGCAGAGTTAAATTTTGGTGCGAAAGAGCTTATTTCACTTCATAATGTACATTGTGAAAATAGGACTCTCATTTAGTTGTCAATTCAATTTCATGAGTGATTTGTCATGTTGTTTGCAGAGAAATGCCAAACCCAATCTTCATATGATAAATTTAACCAAGTCAAAACATTAGAGTTAGTTGGAAATCAAGTCAAGCACCTTTCTTCATATAATTTTTGTTGTTGTGAGTTTCAGATAAAGCAAGTCATAAGTCGAAATTTTCGTTCTAGGAGACGATTATTGTGCCATGCATATTGTTTGTAATTGCATGTCCCAAAAATTCTATAAATTTGAGAATTGACGGCAGCAAAAATTAGATAAAACCATATATATATATATATATATTTAAAAATATTATTAAACATAGATACAACACAGCGGACAAGTTTTCATCTTCCGAAAACATAGAAATAAAAATAAAAACCAAACAACACAAATGTTAAATTTTGTTTCTTCTCGTCTTTCATACGTGAGACAAACAAAAAGCAAATCTTTCACAACTTCATCTCTCCGCGCATATAGAAAACGACGTTGTACTTTCACCTTTTACATGAGCACGTACTAGTTATTCTTTTACTTGATTTGATTTATACGCTTTATAATCCAAGTGTGACAGGAACATTGGCCTCTTGAATCCAGTTAATCGGGCCTAACCAGTTAGCAACAGTGTAGTCATTGACCTCAGCTGCAGACTTGGCGATCTTAGCCCAGTTAACTCTTCTGTTAGTGATAGCTCCTGGTCCACGGTTGTTGAACTCAACGTACCTACATGACTTGTGGAAACTTTCCCCATCCCAGATCTTCCAACCTTCTGGTCTAATCAAATCACCCATCTCGGTGTTCATAATCACGGTGGTCGAGAATTTCTTCCACGGCCTTCCCAAGTATGACGGCACGGTTAATCTCTCGGCCGCTAGTTTCTTGTCCGGAACAATGCGGCAGTTTTGGAGGACGATACCGATTTTCATTGCTAAACCCTTTTCGTTTCCATCAGCTGTGACCGTGTTGAATTGTCCCTTGTTTCCTTTACGGACAACAATAAGTGAGTTCTGTATCACGGTTGCGGATTTACCGAAGATGAAGTCGACTGTTCCTGAGACAACAATGTTTCTGTAGAACTGACGACCGTTGTTCACGTACAAGGTGTCTTGGTAACCGTCGAACCTACAGTTGAAGATCACAGCACGGTCTCCGTTTACTCTGATAGCCACGGCTTGGTGTCCCATTGGACCAGCGGTGTTCTTGAAACCGATCCATTTTGCCATGAATCCTTCTGATTCAACCTCTGCAAGATAGTATACATATAACATGAGTCATTAGTTATATATATATATATATATATACAATATAACCTAATTGTTTGTATTAGTGGACTAGTGAATTAGGGTATTGTGAGACTTACGAACTGTGCCACTGAGGGATGTGGTGGTTCCTGGGGTGAGTTTAACACTTCTGTTGTAAGTAATGACGGTCTTTCTTGCACCATCTCCGAACATGAAGATGTTGTTCTTCTTTTTAGGGATGATTACTTGCTCTTTGTAGATACCAGCCTTAATGTGGATGATGCATCGGCCTGGGTTCTTGTCAGGGCAAGCATTAACGGCTTGTTGAACCGTCTTAAACTGTCCACTTCCGTCCTTAGCCACCACAAAGGTTTCTCTGATCCTAGCAGCGCCATCGTTACCGCCGCGTCCAGCCTTAGCCATGAGCTTCCTGTCACCACCTGAAACCCATGTTGGGGTTCCAGTCTCGTCCATATCTTCAAGAAGACGACGAGCAGGACCATCAGGGTCGGCCACGGGAGATTCATCAGCAACTGGAGGGGTTCCTTTGTTGACGGGAGCATCTCCTTTGTTTGAAGGAGTAAAGAGTCCTCCGGTCATGTTCTTGAATTCGTCAACCTTGATGTTAAGCTTGGCCATGGCGCTAACGACAGTGTGAAAGATGTCAATAGCATTGCTAGTGAGAATCTTGGAGCTTGCAATGCCCTCTCCAATCGTCTTTCTTAAATCTTCTTCTTCGATATCGTCAAGACAATCGGTTTGGTAGTTGTAAACACCGGTTAACCATTGTTTAAGCTGGTCAATTTTGCTCCCGATTTGGTTAAGATCTTCACCCATTTCCTCAACAATGGTGGAAAGATCTTCAAGAGCGTACAAGAAAACTCTCTTGCAGTAATCAAGAACAGCTTTGTTGTTTGGTGAGATGCTCGAGCCCATGTTTCCTTCGGTTTTACCAGTGAAGTTAGACGATTTGGTTATTGCATCTTTTGTAGCGAGCATGAAGGCCTTGATCAGTTTGTTTGGGTCGTCGCTCTTAACCGGCTCGAGAGTTTTGACACATGAGGCTTTGTCGGCAGTTGCCTGACAAATTCCTTGAACAGCTTTCATTTGTGGAGACAGATTACTATCACCATTTTTGTTTATGAAGGCAACGACTCCTATGGCCACTCCAACTAATAAAAGGATGGAGGCCACTGAGACAACAACTTTTCCTATCATTTTTTTTTTGTTTTTTCTATATTTTTGTTGTTTTTGTGTTTTTCTCCCTCCGATTTTATTTAAAGGTAAATGGGAGAGGGAGGGGCTTTATTAGATAAAAGCCAAGTTGTTGAAATGACTTGGGCCAGTAGATAATGTGATGGATACTGGAAGTTTATATAGAAGCTTTTTGGTTTCTAAAATTAGGGACGTGCATGGATTTTGCATGGTGAAGGAGAGTTGTACGGTCGACGAATGGCCAAGAATATTTGATCAGAAAACCTTTAATTAACCTTCAACAAATTTTTGTTGTAATTGCTTAATCGAGAGGATTAAAGTTGGTCACCGCAGTATAAATTTGGCGTACGTCCCCTGTTTAGAAGGTGTGGTGTATTAATTGACTAAAAATAAATTAAAGGGAGATGGATGTAATTAACAAGTGCTGCAATCGGTTTATTTTCCTTTTTCTTTTACTGTTTTTTTTGTTTCCTTTTAAAATATAGCTAAGAGAGAATATATATAATTTAAAATATTTTATGCGCATCGGTTCATAACATGAATGGATAAATGTCAATATAGAGCAACGGGCGACTATTGCAAGTTGTGGACTATGATGATCAGTCTTAAATCCGCAAATCGACCTGACTCAAGTCGGACCAACCAAACCAAATTTATGTGATTTTTTCTAGAATCAAAATCGAATTACATAAGATCCTTGTAAACAATTAGTTATCTCACAGCTTGATTACGTTTACGTATCAGTTAAGCAGAGTATTCTCTTTTCACTTCCATTTGATTAATTACAATATACGCCGCTCTCTCTCGAAACATAAGCTGTTGCTACTATTTTTGTTTGCAACGAAATGGTATATATCTTCGGTGGAGTAGCAAATCTTTGGTTTTAAAGAAGCTACAATTAATTCGAGTGAGTAGCACGATTATTTTGTATCTAAGAGATCTACATATTTTGCATACTAAAAAATTGTATATATAATTAGGAGGAAATGCTATTCATCTTCGGCTGAGTACGTAAGATGTTTGGTATGGGTTCGTTGCTATTTGCTAAACCATATGCATATGGAACTAATTAGCAATGGCTATGAATCAGACTTGCATGCGCTGGTTTTTGCTTCTTCGTTTTTTTAAAGATGTATGTAGGCATTTCAAAATTCACGTAAGAATGTGGAACATCAATGAAAAAAAGGAAATTGACGCAACTATAAATAAAAGTAAAGTAATATACACATACATCAAAATACAATTCACCAAATACTTTACTATTAAATTAAGATTTTATTATTGGATATATAACCACATTTTTTCCATATCCTTTCCAATCACGAGGTCCATACATGATTATAATCCATAACATATTAATTACAAACATACATCAAAAGGAACCTTTGGTTACAAAGATTCCTAAATAAAATATCTGAAAACCCCAATCGATGCAAATTATTCATCACCATCGACCGAATACGTACACTTTTCTTTTTAGATATATAATAAATATATATATTGATAAATAGAATCAATAGTAATAAAAGGACAAAGGTGGTGGGAGCAACGCATCGGTATCTTTCTGGTTAAGTTTTGTCTTAATGTTGAAAGTGTTAAAGACTTTGCCCATCCCAGCGAACACATCCACTGACTCACCACTCATTCTTTTCCCAAGCCCAATCCCTCCTTCGACCACTTTGTGTAACGTCTTGTCGTAGATATCATCGAGGCAAGTGGAATGGTAAGTGAAGATAGAAGTCATCTTCTTCTTACATGTGAAGTAGTTCTCAGCCATGCTCGTTAGGTTTTTTCCTGCGGCTTTCCAGAAATCTGCAAAGTCGTCCAAGGCGTTGTGTAGCTGTTTCTCACAGCTGGTGATGCAAGTTGTGGCGAAGGCGTTTCCTTTGTATTTAGGTTTGATTCCGGAGAGGAACTTCAAACCCCTTTTAACGGACGTTTCAGCGGCCGTGGCTATGTGACGCACCAAAACGGCTGGATCATTGCTTGGGACGCCTCTCAGGGTAATGCTACATAGACGTTTGTCTTGCACAACGCTGCAGATTCCATCGACGGCTTTTTGGTGTTCTGGTGTAATGGCATTGCGTTTTCCTGGGACTACCAATGCGCTTGCCGTGAGGGCGATGCAGAGAACGAGAAAGGCAAGTTTTATTGGAGTGTTCATTTTTTTTATTTTTGTGTTTTTTTTCTGTTTTTTGGACTTGGATTGGAAAGGAATAGGTAGAAAAAGGAAGATCAAAGGTTACCTATATATAAAGATTTATTATAGTTTTTCTAAATTTGGAATTTTTTTTTTTGTTTGTTTTTGGTTTTGACTATTTTCAAATACGAATGGATGATAGTGAGTAAATGGTGGCGTTCCTTATTTATCTGTGGACATGCCATCATGATCCTTTTTTCAACGAGTTTTTTTTTTTGGTACCGGGACACTATTTTTGTTATGAAATTAGGTAACATTATGATATGTTATCTTAAAAATTTATTAGGCTCTAGCTATAACCAAGACAGTGTCTTTTTAAAAAAATTATATAGGAGAGATAAAACAAACAATGGTAAAAAAGACAACTTTGATATACATGTATATAATTTATAACCGACAACATTAAATGAAAGAATATATAACTTATGTGATTCTTGTTAATTAGGCAAGTCAACAAGAATCCAAATAAAGGTAACGGATGTTTTTTTTTGGAGCAAAATAATAAACATTACAAAGATTTCTATGCACACTAAGTTTTGGTTGGTGTATATGTAAACCAAGTTTTTTCAGTAAGATGAGAAAAGTTGAGACGGCGGAGAAAGTGGTGGCTAGCTAACTAATGTACTCCTTCTCCTGGAGCTACTGCTCGAGCATTCAACAAAGGCTGAAGAGCTTTGACGACAATACTCATATTTGGCCTAAAATCCGCTTCATATTGCACACACAACGCAGCAACCGCGGCTAACTGCGTTTCATCATCACCATCACACTTGATGTTAGGAACAATGCATTCTAAAATGTTTGAGATCATGAAAAGTTTGGTTTTTTATTTGTACCTTAGCAACGGCTTTTGGAGGGTAATCGCCACCTAGTCTTGCATCAACGCATTGTTTAACCTTGTCTTCGCTCAGTTTAGGTGTAGCCTGATGCATATAAGTGACAGTTTATATGACTGATGGTCGTGCTATACGAAGAAATAAGATTTGAGTAGAGAAAGTTAAAAGTAGTACCCATGTGACTAAACTCTGTTGGCCTCTGGGTAACCTATGATCAACAGGCTTTCGGCCTGTAAGAAGTTCTAGTAAGACAACCCCAAAGCTGTAGACATCACTCTTGGCATTTAATTGTCCGGTCATCGCATACCTGTAAAGAAGAGCATATGTTGAGAACTTGATAGCTTACGAAATACATGTTTTCACTTTTCACAAGAAACTCCACCAAACTTACTCAGGGGCATGATAACCGAAAGTTCCAAGAACACGGGTCGAATGGAGGCGAGCTGCCATATCAGGAGCTTGATTAGAGAGATCAAAGTCAGCGATTTTGGCAACATCGTCTTCAAAGAGTAGGACATTGCTGGATTTAATGTCGCGGTGAATGATGTGAGGATTTGCTTTTTCATGCAAGTACTCAAGCCCTCTTGCAGCTCCAACTGCAATTTTCACTCGTTGATACCACGACAATACAGGACCTGGCTGTGCTCCCTTCACACCTTTTCTCCCTGAGGAATCGTAAGATGTTAAAGTTAAGTAATCCCAACGAATAGGTCTAGAAATGTGTGTCTGGACTAGTTATAATCAAAACTGTACCATGAAGAATATCATGAAGAGATCCATTTTTGGCAAACTCATAAGCAAGTATCCGTGAATTTCCGTCAACACAGTAGCCAAGAAGTTGAACAAAGTTATCATGTTTCAGCCTAGAAACCATGGACACCTGCAAGCAGTCAAATTTCCCAAGTTTAAATACAGAAATTCAGACAATGTGACATAGTTCAGAAAACAAGAATAGCTAGCTACTAATACTATATCCAGACCTGGGCAAGGAACTCATTGTCAGGCTGCTTGTTAGAATCCAACTTTTTAATGGCAGTAGGCTGATCGTTGTTTAATACTCCATAATAAACTCTTCCATAGGAGCCTTCACCGATGAGAGAACTGGATCCAAAATCATCAGTTGCTTCCTTGAGTTCACTAACAGGGATAGTAGGTACTTCAATAGGCTGCACCTTGACAACTGGAGCGCCCTTTTGAGCAGTTTCAGAGGCTTGGTGCCTTCCATCGTTTCCTGCACAACAAAACCAAAAACTTTAATGAGGAGACAGACTAATCCCACATGTTCATCCAAAACAAGGAACTTGATATTGAAGTATGCAAGTTCTGATTTTTAATCCAATTTTGATATGAAAGGAAGTAAAAAGAAAGAAGTGAAAAACCTCCAAAGTGTTTGGCAGTGTTCTGGCCACCATAATCAGCAGCTTTATGCATATCATCTTCCTCGCAACAGCCGAAGCAGCTCATATCTTTAAATCTGCCGCACTGGGAATTTAAAAAAATCAAAATTTGGAATTCACTCGTATTCAAAAGAGAATCAAGTACTGTGAACCACACAAGTAAACAGCTCAAAGCCTAGCTAGCGTCTCCAGGAACAATCAACAAGAAGTAAATCACAGAAATGGCTGCTACGAACTACATTTACCAAATGAGCAAAAACCCCAAATCTAGCAAATGTAAAGGGAAAACTCAGATGAGACCAAAAACTGGCAGTTCAAAATGGTGAAATCGAGAACAGAAGAATCGAAATCAAAACAATAAGAAAAGGTTATACCTTTATATAATGGAATTGGAAGCAGACACAACAGAGACGAATCAATAAGGGTTGTGGAGAAGAGAAGATGCGTATGATGATTAACAGTGATAAATGACAAATCTTTAGAGCTCTTCTTACGCAATTATAGGAGAAGAGAATGAAAATAATGAAGATAGGTGGAGGAGTAAAGTAGAGGATTAGCTCTCCCAACTTTGACTGCCGTTTCAACTCTGTCACTTGACAGCATGTCAACATATAATCACCGTTGGATTTCAATGACAAGAACCAAAACCCAACGACCAGATTGCCATGTCATATCTTTTTTTTTTTTTGCCTACTGATTAGATTATTCTTCTTTTTTAAAAAAGAACAATCGAATGAATTTGGAAAATAAAAAAAATTCCGGAATTAGCGTCTGATAAGCAAACGGCGTGAATACCGCCGTCGGCCGCCTTTTAACGACCCGTTTATTTTTATATATTTCCCGCTAGTAGTTGGAATTATTTATTTTATCAGAGGTTATTATTATTTTCTTTTTGTGTGACTGAAAGAGTGAAAGCTACTAAAATATGCATTATGATTTGTTAAAAACATTTTTCAATATATGAAATATTAGAGTATATAAATTATGGTAAGGGTAGTATGATATACAATAATATTTGCAATCATATAGTTTTTTATTGACTTTTTTTCTATCTATTTTTTCATTGTTGGTTACTATGACTTGGTTATGTACGTATCAATAGATAGTCAGTCAACTCAAATACAAGGCTTTCTATGTTAAATACCTTTCTACGATGCATTAGTGATATGTTTATTATATATTAAAAAAGTGTAAGAACCAAGACTACTGTATTAATAATAGCTAAAGAAATCGTGATAAAATAGATGTTGGAAATCATTTTATTTTTATGTTTGCGCGTTATCTTATGAAATCTTGTTGTTTCCGAACGATAAGACAAAAAACAAAAAACAAAAATTGGTAAAGGAGGGTTTGGTGAGGTTGTGGGTCGTCGTATATGGTGCATGTGAACAAAATATGGGCATGTTCAAGAGGGAATCATGGTGTCTTTTTTTTTTGGTCACAAAACCCATTACTGTATTCAGTTTATCTTAAGACTCATCAATTTTTATATATACATATCGTGCTCCAACACCATATCATCATCATGATACTATTAGCCGTTAATTTCTATATATATTTTTTCTTCGATTTTTTTTTTCTTTCTAATCTTCTCTTTTAGATTATGTGAATTATTTTTTTTTATATAATATATGTGTCGAAATTCGCCGCTGGGGTTGGTATAACACCTTTTTGATACAATTATTGACTATTTATTCGGTTCCTAATCTCAATAAATGTTTTTCTTTTTCTTAAACAAATACGGTTTGAGTTTTTTTCTTTTGGGTGGAACAAATACGGTTTGAGTTACAGAAAACGGAATGTATATTTCACTTTGAACATACAACCAATAACGACATCATATCATGGTTACTAAAAGAAAACGTGGAATAATAATATATAATAGAGTATACTTTTAATTAAAGACGATTATGAAAACTTGATGGGGAATTAGATACATTGAGATTCTAAAGCTATCAAAGACGAGGAACATGGAAGACGTGGCGCATTGGATTCTTTCTTATATTTTATCATGTGACTGGTCGGTCTCTCTTTTTTTTTTCTTTTTTTTTTTTAGTCTCACACTAAACCAAATTCGATACATATATGTTTTTTTTCTTTAATATCCCACCTTAGTTAGAGTTAGAGACGATCATAACGATAAACAAAGGATAAAAACAAGGAAATTTTATAACACAAGAAACAAAATCTAATACTAGTAGACTAGTAGTAGTATTTTTAGTTTTGAGCGATACTTGTGTGAACCCCATATTGATTAGCCAATTCTTTTTTATCTTTTAAAAATGGTTGAAAGTGGGTTAATAATAAGTGGGTCAAAGAATGAGAGTGGGCCAAGAAAGCCCAGACCATTACGATGAATGAGAGAGAGACCACATGTGAGACCGAAAGGTTGACCCAATCTTCGGAAGAAGAAAACTTTTTTTGTTTATGTTTTTTTTGGGTGTTTTGATGGTCAAAAAGTCAAAGGCGCGTTTACAAAACAGAACACCGACACTTTCTTTGTCAACTAGCGATTACCGATTACTGCGGTTCTTCTTCAGTATACTCGCAACTAGAAAAGAGGAAGGGAACCTTATCGTGCATCACAACACAGACGATCAAAGTTCCGTGTTCCGCGAAACAGGGGATTATTGACTACCATAAGTGAGGGGGGGAGGGGAGTTGTAGGGTAAGTTAGTAAGTACACTGCTTCACATGGGATAATTCGACAAAAGTCTCAAATTTATTATTTTTCATTTTTATTTTTATTAATCAGTGTAGAAACGGTCCCCACCACTATTTTTTGTTTTTCCTTAAAACCTTTTAAAAATCATTTTTTTTTTTTTCTTTATGTACTAAATCGGTTTCTCTCTCTCTCTCTTTTTCTCTCTCTCTCTCTCTTTTTCTCTCTCACTCTTTCTTTCTCTCCCCTAACCTTTTTGTACTATCATAACCCATTACCATACATACTCTTCTTCTCCATCACGCCACAAACGTAGTAGATTCACATCATCCTCTTCTTCTTCTTCTTCTTCTTCCTCCTCTTCGTCTCCAGTGGCTCTTTCAAGGTGTCTCCAGCTGTATTGTGTACTTTGTTTTCATTAGTGTCCAACAGGTCAGTCTATATCTTCCTCCTTTTGTGGCTTTGAAGAGCTTGTACGGATTCAATTATAGGCAGCCTATGTAGTGGTTTTGAGGGGTCTTTTGTCTTATGGAGAAAGGTCTTTGATTTGTCGGTGTATTGGATTCTGGGCATCTGTCTTCGTGTTATTTGGGAATTCATGGATCTGTCACTCTGTTCCTTTTTGGGTTTTTGGGCTAGAATCGATTTTGATTAGGAAGAAGCCTTCAAAGTTTGTGTCTTTTTTCTTTTACCTTTCGATCTTCAAAGATCAGTTGGGTTTTCTTCTATTTCTCATCTTAGTCTGAATTTGATCTTTGGAGGGTAGAATCTATCTTTGTGATGGAAGCTAGAATTGAAGGTGAGCCTCAACATTTCTATGGGTTTAGAGCTGTGGATCTAAGGTCTGTTGGTAAAAGGACTGTCGAGTGGGATTTGAATGATTGGAAATGGGATGGTGATCTCTTTGTGGCTACACAATTGCATCCTGGTGGCAGCGAAACTACGGGCCGTCAGTTTTTCCCTATAGGAAACTCTTCTAATAGCTCCTCCTCCTGCTCTGATGAAGCCCATAATAGTGAGTCATTAGTGCGAAGTACAAGAGAAGTTGAGAAGAAGAGGAGAGCTGTTGCCATTGAAGGAGACACCAATGGTGGTGCTCTTACTTTGAAGCTAGGAGACAATGGCTGTGATCTTAATGGTGAAAGAGAAGGGAATTCTGCTGCCAAGAAGACTAAATTCGGAGGAGCAGGAGCTGTGACTAATCGCGCTGTCTGTCAGGTGGGAAACTGTGAAGCTGATCTTAGTAAAGTTAAGGATTATCATAGACGTCATAAGGTCTGTGAGATGCATTCTAAGGCTACTAGTGCCATTGTCGGAGGTATCATGCAGCGGTTTTGTCAGCAATGTAGTAGGTATGCTTCTTTCAAAGCCTCTAAAACCTCATTTAATAATATAAATAATGTATCAACTCTCTTTTTCTATCTTTCAGATTCCATGTTCTTCAGGAGTTTGATGAAGGAAAGAGAAGTTGTCGTAGACGTTTGGCTGGGCACAATAAACGTAGGAGGAAAACAAATCCCGAACCTGGTGCTAACGGAAATCCTAGTGATGATCAGTCAAGCAATTATCTGTTGATTAGTCTCTTGAAGATACTCTCCAATATGCACAGTATGCTGTTTACTCTGGTATCTACATAGATTAGTCTTAAAAGTGTTTGTATCAGCTGCTAAATTGCTATACCTTGCAGCTACTCGATCAGACCATACTGGTGATCAAGATTTGATGTCTCATCTTCTGAAGAGCCTTGTAAGCCATGCTGGTGAACAATTAGGGAAAAACTTAGTTGAACTTCTTCTGCAAGGAGGATCTCAAGGTTCCTTAAATCTTGGAAACTCTGGTTTGCTTGCAATTGAGGAAGCTCCTCAAGAGGATTTAAAGCAACTCTCGGTAAACGTACCTGAGGTTCCTCGGCAAGAATTGTATGCCAATGGGACAGCTACCGAGAACAGATCAGAAAAACAAGTCAGAATGAATGATTTTGATTTGAATGATATCTATATAGACTCAGATGATACAGATATCGAAAGATCTCCTCCTCCTACGAATCCAGCAACCAGTTCTCTTGATTATCCTTCGTGGATACATCAGTCTAGTCCACCTCAGACAAGTAGGAATTCAGATTCAGCATCTGACCAGTCACCGTCAAGTTCCGGTGAAGATGCGCAGGTATATATCTCTTACCTCATCCATACTTTCTGGATCTGTTGGCCTGCTGATAGTTTGCTGTAACCTTCTCTTTTTTTTTTTCACTCCATCTCAGATGCGCACAGGCCGGATTGTGTTCAAACTATTTGGGAAAGAGCCAAATGATTTTCCTGTTGTCTTGCGTGGACAGGTACTGGTCTGCTTGAGAACTCAAGTTCTTACTTTGTGATGTAGGAAGTTGTATTGATATGTTAATTTCTCGATATTCAGATTCTGGACTGGTTATCGCATAGTCCAACTGACATGGAGAGCTACATTAGGCCTGGCTGTATTGTATTGACCATCTATCTTCGTCAAGCTGAAACTGCTTGGGAAGAAGTAAGCTTATTTTATAACTTCCTTTTCTCCTCTTCGACATTTCATCTTGTCTTTTAAAAAGTTCCAGACTCCTAAACGTGTATCTGTATTCTCTTTATTTTTTTGCTTGGCAGCTTTCAGACGATCTAGGTTTTAGCTTAAGGAAGCTTCTAGATCTCTCTGATGATCCCTTGTGGACAACTGGATGGATTTATGTTAGGGTTCAAAACCAACTTGCATTTGTATATAACGGTTAGTTATGAGAATACTTTCACCTTCTGAATACTTCTCTGGATTTCTGAGTTCTGAGTATGTATTGTCAATCTGGGGTTGCAGGTCAAGTTGTTGTCGACACTTCCTTACCTCTTAAAAGTCATGATCATAGCCACATCATTAGCGTTAAACCGCTTGCTGTAGCTGCAGCGGGAAAAGCTCAGTTTACGGTAAAAGGCATCAATCTCCGTCGACGTGGCACAAGGTCTTGGTTTCTTTAGAATTCTGGCCTTCCTTGTCTTCTTTTTCTTCTTCCTTGACATCTAATTGTCGTGCGATCTTTTTTATAGGTTACTTTGTGCTGTAGAAGGAAAATACTTGATTCAGGAATCAACACACGACTCAACGACTGAGGAGAATGATGATCAGAATAATGAGATTGTTGAGTGTGTCAACTTTTCTTGTGATTTGCCAATAATTAGTGGTCGAGGATTCATGGAGGTGAGCACTTTCTATATCTACTCTGATCATCAATAAACAGTCACATGTTTATTCATCACACTCAGAACTTGCTTGATGATTATTCCAGATTGAAGACCAAGGACTCAGTAGCAGCTTCTTTCCTTTCTTAGTGGTTGAAGACAATGATGTTTGTTCTGAAATCCGTATACTTGAAACCACATTAGAGTTCACTGGAACTGATTCTGCTAAGCAAGCTATGGATTTCATTCATGAAATCGGTTGGCTTCTTCACAGAAGTAAACTTGGGGAATCAGACCCAAATCCAGACGTTTTCCCATTGATACGGTTCCAGTGGCTAATTGAGTTCTCAATGGATCGAGAGTGGTGCGCTGTGATCAGAAAGCTATTAAACATGTTCTTTGATGGAGCTGTTGGTGATTTTTCTTCCTCCTCTAATGCCACGCTATCTGAATTGTGCCTTCTTCACAGAGCCGTGAGGAAAAACTCTAAGCCTTTGGTTGAAATGCTTTTGAGATACGTTCCAAAGCAGCAAAGAAACAGCTTATTTAGACCCGATGCTGCTGGTCCAGCCGGTTTAACACCTCTTCACATTGCAGCCGGTAAAGATGGTTCAGAAGATGTGTTGGATGCCCTTACAGAAGATCCTGCAATGGTGACTTTGAATTTCCCTCTTTTTTTCAGCCATGAAATTTGATTCAATGAGAAAAACGCTTATCTTTTTGCATCTGATTCAGGTGGGGATTGAAGCGTGGAAGACATCTCGAGACAGCACAGGCTTCACACCAGAAGACTATGCACGCTTACGCGGTCACTTCTCATACATCCACTTAATTCAACGCAAGATCAATAAAAAGTCAACAGCTGAAGATCACGTTGTTGTCAACATCCCTGTTTCTTTCTCAGACAGAGAGCAGAAAGAACCGAAATCAGGTCCAGTGACATCCGCCTTGGAGATCACACAGATTAACCAGCTTCCATGCAAGCTCTGTGACCATAAACTGGTGTATGGGACAACTCGCAGGTCTGTAGCGTACAGACCGGCTATGTTGTCAATGGTGGCGATTGCTGCAGTTTGTGTCTGTGTGGCACTTCTCTTCAAGAGTTGCCCGGAAGTACTCTATGTATTTCAACCGTTCAGGTGGGAGTTATTGGACTATGGAACTAGCTGAGTGTAAGTCTACTTTGAAGAATCTTCTAAGATAAATATTACTTATGTAAACCCATAAAGGCGTGATTTCTATATGTAACTATATGAGTATAAGATATATAGACATGTTGGATTTAGAAGATTGTTGTTGTTGTGTGTAAAAGCCCCTCCATTCTCTCTGGAACCTGAGAATCCCCTCTCTCTCTCTGATTAGTATATTTTTTTGTTTGACAGAATAATTTGTTATCTTGTAATTTAACAATGGATATGTTCTTGTACTAGCCTTCTCTCTTTGTTTCTGCTTTTTGGGTATAATGGTGGATACACACTTTGAAGTTTGAAGCTTTTACACAATTACAAACTTAAAAAGTTGGATACACACCTTTGAGAAGCTTTTTTTACAAACAACAATCTTCTTCATTCTAAGAAACTAGAAGTTCGGCGCCTATTTCAACACTTTGATGATATCTTCATTCTCCGGTACATCTAGTGCGATGCAGAGCAGAAGATCTAAAGCTGGAACCCAAATCTCACAACCAAAGTAACATAAGTCAAGAAGTTTCCTTGGTCGTCCAGCTTCTATTATTACTTTTGAATGATCTTTCTGTAAGTGATTACACGGGCTAACGAATCTAAAGTGCGCCACAACTGCTGCTTTCAAAGCCTTCGAATCTTGATGCTCAACCTTTGTGTATCATAAGTAGAACCGTATCACCCACCATTTTCTTAATTAAGTTGATTAACATTGGCCTTGAACGAGAGATTTGAAGTTAAAAGCTGAGCGTCTCAAGTTAGACTGTTAGAGGTTTGCTCTGCCGCAGCAACAGAGTTGAGAGAACAGTGACAGATTCAGACAGAAACAGAGAGTACATTACATGATAATAATCTGAAGAACACCAAACCAGATTAAGACTTGAAACCACAAACGATTTCAGAGTTTCAAACAACAGAAACATAGTTTAAACGATAAGCAGACTCTCAAGCCTTCTCTGCCTTAAGAGGCTTAACAACCTCCCAGGTAAAGTCAGGATCTTCCCTACCAAAGTGTCCGTATGCTGCAGTCTTCAAGAACCTTCCATTGCCACCTCTCGTGAGGTCAAGGTTAATGGTCATCATGCCTGGCCTGAAATCGAAGTTCTCCTTCACAATCTTGAGAATCTCCTTGTCTGGAATCTTCCCAGTTCCATATGTATCAACAAATACGGACAAGGGCTCGGGGACACCAATGGCGTAGGAGACCTGAACGAGCGCCCTGCGTGCTAGGTCGCTGGCTACAATGCTCTTGGCTGCCTGTCTAGCTATGTAAGCACCGCTTCTGTCCACTTTCGATGGGTCCTTCCCCGAGAAGGCACCACCACCGTGAGCTCCCCAACCACCGTAAGTGTCAATGATGATCTTGCGTCCGGTAAGACCAGCGTCCCCGTGTGGCCCGCCAATGACGAATCTGCCAGAGGGGTTAAGGTGAAAGATGGTTTTCTCGTCGAGGTACTTGTCGGGAATCACAGGCTTGATCACATGCTCCTTGAGGTCAAGGGCGATCTCATCGTTGGTGACAGTCTCGTCGTGTTGTGTAGAGATAAGAACAGTGTGGACACGGACAGGGACCATAGCGCCGTTCTCGTTGTAGTACTCAACAGTGACTTGAGTCTTGCCATCAGGTCTGACCCAGGGGCAAGTACCGTTCTTCCTGACCTCAGTGAGACGAGCACCGAGCTTAGTGGCCAAAACATGACTCAAAGGCATAAGCTCAGGAGTCTCATCAGTGGCATAGCCAAACATGTGACCTTGATCACCAGCTCCAATCTCTTCAGGGCGTTTGGTGAAATGACCGTGGACACCCTGAGCAATGTCAGGGCTCTGCTCCTCGATGTTGACGAGAACTTTGCAGTTGTCAGCGTCGAGACCGACATCGGCGGAGACGAAACCAATGGCACGGCAAGTGTCACGGACAATCTTCTCGTAGTCGACTTTAGCCTTAGTGGTGATCTCACCAAAAACCATGACCATGTTGGTTTTGGTGCAGGTCTCACAAGCAACTTTGCTCTCAGGGTCTTGCTCGAGGCAAGCGTCAAGGACTGCATCTGAAACCTGGTCGCAGAGTTTGTCTGGGTGGCCCTCGTTCACAGACTCGGATGTAAATAAAAACGATTCCATATCTTACAAGCCTGCCAGTACCACAAGATCGTCACGAGAAAATGATTTAAGCACTGTACAAAACAAGTAGTTATTTTTGAACTAATTGTGCATTAGATTTTAACAGAATCTACTGGAAAAGTATAAAATTAACGTCTAGTGGAATAGAACAATAGAATAATAAAATTTCGAAACGAATTTAGAACAACAGTAAGGCGGAAGCAGAGACATCAACAAAGTAAAAAAGAAATCAAACAGAGAGAGAGAGAGCTCAAACTAAATATCTGAAATGATTAGCACAGATCTGGAAGCCAAACCTGTGGGGAGAGAGGAAGAGAGCAAATCCGAGAAGGAGAAGGAGAAGCAGCCGACACACAGCACAAGAAGAAGCGAAGCACTGGACACAACCCTTGACGCCACTGCACGTCTTCCTTTTATACATCCTTTTTCTTCTCTTTGTCTTTTTTTTTTTTTAACCTCGAGTGTTGGTTGTAACTGGTTACTGGCTGAATCGGTCGGATATTTTCTAGTGGATTTTTTTTATTTACATTGTATAATCCAAACAAAATCATGTATGTATGTATTATTTGTACAATAATTTTATTTTGTGGTTTTGTGTTACTCGCAAACAAAATCATGTATGTATGTATGTATTAAAATGTTTTTAATATTTTGAAAAATCATTTAAGAAATAGGCTATTTTTCTTGGTTTTGATGAAAGAAGAAGCTATTTTATATGGCTTTATTCTGTTTGTCGTGATGTTAAAAGCTTGAAAAGAAACATATTATTTTTGGTTGGATTTGTGAAAATCTACTGAAAATGATTATTGCTTCTGGTGAATCCTAGTCGTTGGATGCAATACCTCAACGGTTGAGATCTTCGGTAGCTGGTGATAGAGAATGACATTTACCAGTTCCCCCCTCTTTATTTGCTGCATCTTACTCTGCAGATATAAATTATTTTTGTAAAGTGCGTATCTTGCTTCTTCTTTTTACCGGTCAATCACCAACCCCCCCCCCCCAGTTGGGTTATTTCAGCTTGACGGCATGGAATGATAATCCGATCCCATGAGTGAGAGAGTCATCATCTTTTGGCCTCAAAGTCAGTAAAGGAACCACCAACCAAACCGTCTCCTAAACCGAATATGCTGTGTATAAACCGGGAATTTGAAACCATGTCGCTCTGCATACGGTTGGTGTGATTACTGATTTGATTTGTGGGTTTTTTAGCTCACCAGTCACCCCATTATCATGACTTTTAATTCTACAGATCTCAATTTATAGCTCACCGTATTTGTAGATCCAAGATTATGATATTTCATTATTAATGTAGTAAGTATTAGGATGTTTGACTAATCATTATTAACATAATCCATATTTTAGGCCTTAATTATATAGCGATTATCTTTCTTGAACCGATCCAATACATCGAATTTAAATACCTGAGGATATATAAGCTTGGCATTACATCAAAACACACAAACACTTGTAAGTTTATGATATCCTTTGAATTGGTTCACATGTGCAAAAACTTTCTTTCCAACTACCATCCGTTTCTAACCTGTATTTCCCGCAAAAGGTTCACCATCTTCCTGAGAAAGCAAAAGCCAATGGATTTGTGTTACTAGATGAAGAGTTTTGCACTTCCTCTTCGCCAAGCACCGCGAAGTGGCAATCCACCGGGAGGGTTCTGGCTCCTTTTGGAGTTATCCTTCTTAGATTCTGGTTCAGGCTCTGGGTTCGTATTCCTATGATCTACTACTGCAGCCATTGATATTTCGTCTAGACGTTTTCTGAGAAACTTCGAAGTTTTCTTATGTTGGTTGTCTGTGTTACCTAATCCCACCCCAGCAGATGAAGAATTCACCAAAGTCGTCACTTTTGTTTTGCCTTTATCTGAACGATATGCATCCTTGTCTTCATCCTGAGATTTTTCAGAGAATTGTAACTTCCTCACGGCTTCCACAACCCTATCCCCCTTGGAATCACTGCTATTTTCAACCTTCACAGCTTTCCCTTTATTTCCTCCTCCCAAGCACGCATTGTGGGTATCAATGAGTTCCTTCTGCCTCTGAGGGTCAGGGCAAAGCCTAGCAAGATCTAAAATTAAGTGAGACAAACCATAACCATTCACATATTCCAAGTAAGTTCTTGCATCAATGGAACCATGACGATACTTCCCTGATGTACCCTTGAATGCCATGAATAACTCTTCATCGTGTCCAAGGCTGGCACGTACTTTTTCAACCAAACTTTTATTGTCAGACTGTACATCAGAAACACCTTGTGCGACTAGGATGTTCGCTGCATTTGCACTGGTGGATGATGACCTGCGATTTGGCGCAGCAGAAATTGGAGAATTAGAATGACAAGGCTGCTCCAGTGATCTTATATCAGACATTTTGGGTGTTGAAGACAAGTGATGATTATTCCTCTTTGCATTGCCGGAACTCAGCGAAGAACCAGATGAGCATCCAACAACTGAGGTATCTTCACTACGAGCATCATGTGGAGTTGCAGAAGCAAATGTTCTAGTAATTTCAACTCTGCCATGGTGCCTAGAATGGGATTGAGCAGAAGCACCATAAGATTGTACACTGCTTGCAATCGATGCTTGTGTTGGGCCTCGGTTTAACGCTGGCCAAGCTCGAGAAGAACCAGAAGTTGCACTTCGATTTGTTTGATGTCTTAGACGAGTAGTCATGGTGTTACTATGTAAGCTCTCTGAGTTGTGTCCAAACCTTGATGGGCCTCGGTTTGCTTGCACAGAGAGTGGAGGAAAATAATATTCTTCAAGACGTGAACCTCCAGAGCTCCCCACATGTTGAAGAAGAGAACTACCGTCGTTAATGGCATAAGATTCTTGAGATTCCAGAGCTGCATGATTAGGCTCGCGATGGGACGTTCGGCGCCTTCCACGGCGACTGTTCTTGTATTGGAAACTGGCGTGTATCTAAAACAGAACCATATATTAAATATAATCAAGCAAACCAAAAGATAGAAAAAACTTATAACAAGAAAAAAGTTGTAGTCTGAAAATGATACATGCCTCTAGTGATGCGCTTTGTTGAGACCGAGACATTCTACCTCCATGATCAATAGAATTATGCCTCTAGAAACAAATGTAAGTGATCTTTTAAGCATTGTTTTGTGTCACCATAGAGAAGGGCATAACAAACAGTGGTAATGAAAAAAAGGTGTTTACTTTCAACTCAGCTTCGATTTGGAAAACTATGAACTTCTTAGCAAGGCAGGTTTCGTCTTCACATAGGAAATGGTCAGTTCGAAAATGAACCTGTTGCAAAAATAAGTGAGGACCACAAACAGTCAAGGATTCAGAACCCAATGCAGCCACAATATAGCATAAGATTACATTCATACCTCCAAATCGTCATAGTTGCCATAATATTCATATTGTCCTGGCTTCAGCCTGCAAAAATTGAAGCAAATGAAATCATTTCGAGGTCAATCAAATCCATATCTCTCACGAATACAAATTTCATTTACCTTTGGCATATATGACAAGTGTAGTGCTCTCTGGACATATGAGTGTATAGCTCATTATCACCATAGAATGGACGCTTACAGAATTCGCACATAGGATGACCAGTGAAACCACCTCTTTCATTCTCACTTCCATCCACTTCCGAGTCACCACTACTTATATGCTGATTCAGTTGTGCCGTAGTAAACAACTTTTGCTCACAAATGAAGACCTGACAAAACAATAGCAAAAACTTGTCCATTAGAAATCAGTAGCAAGAGATATAGCTTACACCTAAGAGGGGTAATTTTAGGATCCTCACCTTACGACCTACAAGACATAAACTGCACATATGCAATTTGTGCTGATGGTTTAAATGATCTTTCAACTGTTCAACGCTCTTAAACCGCACACGATTGTTAGGTCCTTTCTTTGGTTGGATCTTCTTCGTCTCCTCACACGAAGTGCAAGAGAGTCTGCACATTGCCTTAATCTTTGTGTACTGGTTTATGTCATCAAAGAAAACTTTTGTTTCTTCATGATACCAAAAAGATCCTACTCCACCTTCCTTGGGTACTGATGGAAAACTAGTCGAGAAATCACTGATCGACTTTGTATAATCACCCAAAGCCTGCACTAGACGGAGACAATACTGTAAAAGTGACCCAAGACTCAATCAATTTCAAGGAAATTTACAAGCTTTTGGTGTCAGTTAGGAGCAAAAAAAAGTGCGACATTGAACAGATATAAAAAGGGAAAAAAGAAAAAAACCTAACCTTTGTAACGAAGACGACGGGGCATTCGGTTTTGCAGATACAACATCGAGTATCACTGAATATGAAGCGAAGACGAAGGACGCAAGTTGAGCAAACCTCTCTGTGACCACAAGATCCGTAAGCAACCCATTCCAGACCCTCCGCGCAAACGGCGCAACTATCATCCATGATTGATTACACCTGTGTTTCAGACTCCTTTGATGAAATCACAGAGAAACCCAGAAAACAACACAAGAAACTGCAGCAGGAGAGAAAAGTTAAATAAAGAGACAACGAAACGACACTTCATGATTATATATGTTCAAGGTTATACCATATCGGGGATGTAGCTCAAATGGTAGAGCGCTCGCTTTGCATGCGAGAGGCACGGGGTTCGATCCCCCGCATCTCCAACTATTTTTATAACCTTAACCATCTCAGGCCCAATATACTCAACCTAAAGCCCAATTTGCTTGATGTAAGACCCATTTATTTATTTTTTTCGCAAATGTAGTCAGAAGAAGGGTAATTAGGTAATTTAAAAGGCGAACTCCAAAACCCTAGTTTCTTTCTTAACCTCTCTCCTTTATTTCATTTCACCACATAGAAAAATTCTTCCGCCGTTGGCTAGCGAGAGAAGCAAAAGATGCAGATCTTCGTGAAAACCCTAACGGGGAAGACGATCACCCTCGAGGTAGAGTCATCTGACACCATCGACAATGTGAAGGCCAAGATCCAGGACAAGGAAGGAATCCCGCCGGACCAGCAGCGATTGATTTTCGCCGGAAAGCAGCTCGAGGACGGACGAACCTTAGCCGACTACAACATCCAGAAGGAGTCAACGCTTCACCTTGTCCTCCGTCTCCGTGGTGGTGCCAAGAAGAGGAAGAAGAAGACCTACACCAAGCCGAAGAAGATCAAGCACAAGCACAAGAAGGTCAAGCTCGCCGTTCTGCAGTTCTACAAGGTTGACGGCTCTGGCAAGGTTCAGCGTCTGAGGAAGGAGTGCCCTAACGCCACCTGTGGTGCTGGGACTTTCATGGCTAGCCATTTCGACCGTCACTACTGTGGTAAGTGTGGTCTCACTTACGTTTACCAGAAAGAAGGAGCTCAGGAATGAATATGATCTCTCTTATTCGTAGATCTCTTATCTTTTGAACTGGATACTGCTTTTTGATTTTGCAAGTGTTTTTTATTTTTGTTGCTGTTATGGATCTTATGTTGAACATCTATTGTTCTGAATTTCATATTTAGGTTTTTTCGATGGATATTATGCTCTTTAATTCTCTACCCTTATTCGAATTGTTAAATCTTATTGCATGATTCATATATGATATATCACACAATCAAAAATCTTTGAATTACAGATATTTCAATGTTTGGGTTTATGAGTAGATTAGGATTTTACAAAAGCATTTGGGAATAGATAGGGGAAGCATGAATTTTTGGCTTTTACAATTGCGGCGTAAGCTCCATAGCAAGGGATGTGAACAATTGCCATGCACAAGTACCTGAGAATATGTTGTGCTGTTTGTTTAGTGTCCAATCACAACCGTTACAACTTTTCTTAGATAGCATTGTGAAAGGTGAATACCATATTGGAGCCCATGGCCTATCGAGCTCGAGGAATGGATATGGCCACCTGAGAATATTTTGTTTACATTGTATCTCTTAAAATTGCTTTGCTTCGATTAGAATAAGATTCTTTGCGATAGTTGTAGTTACAATTCACTGTAGATCATTAGTGCTTACCAAGTGAAGCCACATGCGTGGATTATCCATTGGAAAAGAACGTAGAGACTACTCCAGAGCACGAAATAACCCATTCGAAACCAAGGCAAGGGCTGAAACCATATCAAAAGGATTATGATAGTCTCTTTTCTTAATTTCATTTGTCTTGGTTACATATTAATTTCGCTTACAAGGCTATTGAGAACTGTTTCAAGCAGGAGGAAGCCTGCATTTGTCGTGTGCATGCAAATCATCAACTGGGTCAAAGCATACATATCTGATAAGTTTATTTGATACTCGAGTTGATTGACAAGTTAATCAGAGGCTGAAATGTTCTTACTGTGTTTAACCCGAAGTGAGAATTTGAGAGGAAAGGAACTATGACTAGCCAAAACACAATGTCCGTCAGTACAACAGCCCCTGCACTTGTCTGTAACCCAAACCCGACACAACAATTATTGTATGAATGAATGTGTATATATAATGCAAAATCTTGGGTATCTGTGTTTTACACTAACCTGAAAAATTATCTGCATGATATATCCATAAGCCCCTAATCTTTGCCTGAATTCAACTTCGACTTTTTCTACAAGCGCATCTTCACTAATTTCCAGTGTTAGCTCTTTAGAATATTTCAAGCAACCATTTACTGAAGCTACAATACCCATCTGCCCAGACACTTATGAGCATAAACAAAAATTTGGATCTATGTAACACTCATACGCAGAAATCGTTAAGCTGTTTCAACGTACCGCAAAGTAAATGATCACAAGCATGAAAGTCCATCTGTCACAAAACCAAATAACATATAAGTGAAAGAATGTTCTGATTACATTCAGACTTTTGCGTTACAACACTAAAAGAAGAAAATTTCACTCTGTGTAGTAAACGAAGATGCTTGCGTCCCACTTGATGACATCCCAAGCCAGTAAAGCAGCCATGGAGAGGAAAGAGGTGGAACGAGTGAAGAGAAGCCAGCCGGGATGTAACCTTCTCCAGCAACTGGTCCATAACCGAGCCGAACCAAGCCTCTCCGATCTATACACTAGTAACAAGCTATCTTGGGCCGTATCATCAATTCCTATGAAGCCTCTTTCTCTGCGCAATAGAAACCACAAGGACGTGACGATAGCGGCGGCGACTATCGCAAAGCAGATGAAGTCATACCAGTAAACGAGCAATGCCATATGATTTGCTAATTATATTATAAAATAAACTAGTTATTTAGTCTTCTCTTTGGAAGATGTGTGTTTGTTTATGCATGGCGTGGAATTTTCGGCAGGTGGGATTGTTTTTAAAGCGAGACGACCAGCTGTTGTGATCGTTTGTTACTCGTGTTAATTGACAGTTAGATAAAAATACATAATATTGACGCATTTACATAATACATATTTTCAAGAATTTCTAAATAAATAAAAACTAGGAATTGATCAAATCAATGAAAGCAAAAAAAAAAAAAGATATAAAAGGGGGGAAAACCACAACTAAAAATGGTTATATAAGCATTTTTCACTTGCAGTATTCAAAATGGTTATATAAGCATTTTTCACTTGCAGTATTCAAAATGGTTATATAAGCATTAATCAGTTTTTTTAATTAAATTTTTAAAAGTGGTGCTTATGTGTTACTTATAATCCACAACTTAATCTATGGTGCTTACAACATTTTTTTTTTTTTTTTGATTATATTCATTACATACAATGATAAGCAACATGTTAAACATATATTAAGCAGAAGCAGTGTAACCGTGATGTGCCCTAACGTTATATAAACTGTCACTAATTAAAAAGAACTATAAAACCTATTTGCCTTATTCTTATGGCCAGTACGAATTTTATTTATGTTTGATTTATTTTAGTGAGACCTTAGATTCGTAGTTTGGAGTTAGTAATTACGGAGAAATCAAGAATTTATATGCAATAAAGATGATTTTGGGAGAAGTTAGGACTTAACAATGACACCCCAATGCCCAAATACCATCATTTCGAAACAATTTGTTTGTCGGGCGATTTTTCCGCACGTATCGTTTCATGGCTCCACAGCTTATTAATACCACTCTCTATCGAAATAAGAGCCAACAACTAACGATACGATTGATGACAAAATAAGAATAACAGACAATAATACATGCCTAATTTTATGATTAAAATAACCACTAATCCGGAATATCTCTCGCAGAAAGGAGTTGTAGATAAACTCCAAATATAATAATTTTACCCTTAATTATTTTCGAATTTATAGGACATTCGTAAGCAATAACACTGTAAATTAATAAACGAGTATCAAATGTCATCTCATAATAGAATATGGAAATTATTCGCCGATAGCAATAACATTACAGTATAGAGCGAAGGAAAAGAAAAAGACGTCAAGTCAACAGTCAATTTATTTCACTTCACATGATGGGCTTGACGACGGTATAACCACCGTCGACAGCCAAGTTTTGGCCGCTAACGTAAGCCGAATCATCAGAAGCCAAAAACAAAGCCGCCTCTGCCACATGGCGAGCCTTGAGTACAACACCTTTGAGGATTCCCGTGGCGGCGCAATAGTCTTCCACCATCTTCGCCGTTTCCTCGTCATGGCTGTTGAGCGGCGTCGCCACCCCAAACGGTACAACACCGTTGACTCTAATCCCGTGCTTCCCCAGCCCGCCAGATGCAGTTCTCATCAGCCCGAGAAGTGCGTGCTTCGACGCCGTGTACGCATGAGGTCCAACACCACCGATCTCCGAAGCGACGCTCGTCGTACATACGATAGACCCACGAGTGCCTTTCTCCACCATGGCACGTGCCGCGTGTTTGATAAACGCAGCCGCACCACGGACGTTGACCGCCATGGTTCGGTCAAACAGTTCGAGGTCCAAGTCAAGAAAGCTTCCAGGCTGTTCCATAACGCCGGCGTTACTGAAAAGAACGTCGAGCTTCCCGTGTTTCTCGACGGTGAACTTAACGGCGTTCTCCACCTCCGTTTCGTTTGTTATATCGCAACAGTAAAAAGTAGCTCTCTCATGCCCTATTGAAATGGCTACTTTTTGACCAAGCTCTTCTTGTAAGTCAACGATGACCACCTTTGCTCCATGCTCCGTGAACAGCCTTGCCGCCTCCGCTCCAATCCCGCTAGCTCCACCTGTTACGATAGCGATCTTGCCTTCCAATCTCCTAAACGTACGTAGACATATAAATATAAGTTGTAGTTACGTAAATAAATCAGTAAACAAACATATATTTATATATATGTATATCATATATTTATATATATGTATATCATATATGTAAACAAACATATATGATAAATATAAGTTGTAGTTATAAATATAAATATAAATATAAATATAACTATAAATATAAATATAAGTTGTAGTTATAAATATAAATATAAATATAAGTTGTAGTTATAAGTTATAGTTATATATGATAAATATAAGTTGTAGTTACGTAAATAAATCAGTAAACAAACATATATTTATATATATGTATATCATATACGTAAATGCTTTGGTGCCACTTACCTGAGTCCTGACATTGTTGAAGGATTTCAAAGGGAAACTACAGAGAGGGAGAGATTATATATAGAGACTTGAACGAATGACTCGATCGATACACCATTCAATTCCTATTTATTGATTTTTCTATTTTATTTTATAAAACGACTTTATAGAGTTTAACATTTAATTATTATTTTTTGGTAACATTTAAATTATGTATGTTTGTTTAAAAAAAGACTACACAACTACCATAAATTAAATCATATTTATTTAATCATTGATGTTACAGTAATTATAAGTTCGTGCTGAAACTTCAATGGAGAAGCAAAATATCTAACACCAGACTTTTATTTCTAGTCAATATATTTGGTGGGAATTTCTTTTGTGGAAAAAATATGATGCGTGATTAAATATAATTCCTGAACTGAACATTTTATTCCCTCCATAATTGACTATAGGCTATCGAGAAAAGTGTATATATAAGAAAAAAAAGATCCAAATGAAATAGCAAAGAGGCCATATAAATCTGAAAACAGAGAAGCTCGGAGCAGAGTATTTTAGCCCACTGTTAGTCTAGTAAGCTTGTACAAGATTTGCTAATTGCTTATATAATGATCCTCGAGATGCGCACTTTGTTGGATAATGAATGTTTCCATATAAAAATACAACATCCATATTTCAAGGAAATTTGCAACCTTCAGAAACTCAATCCCCATGTCTCTCTCTACAATTAAAGTCAAAGTCAACTTTTGACCCAATTGTTTATAAAGAAACATTTCATCATGGGACCTTTGTGGCCAAGTTGTACTAGCTACGGCTTAACCACCGAGTAACCGCCGTCAACTGCCAGGTTCTGTCCGCTAACGTAAGCCGACTCATCAGATGCTAAAAACAGAGCAGCTTCTGCCACGTGGCGAGCTTTCAACACAATGCCCTTCAAATTCGCCGACGCTAACGTGTTCTCCTCAACCACGGCTGGCTCTATCTTGAAGCCATTACAAACCAACGGTGTTGCGACCCCAAACGGAGCAACGCCGTTTACTCTTATCCCATATTGCCCTAATCCACCAGAAGCTGACTTGATCAAACCCAATAGCCCATGCTTCGACGCCGTGTACCTATAAATATAATTCCTTTTAATTAATGACAGTTTATATAATCAAATTCTCAAATAAATCGTGGCAACATGACCATTTTGATATTTATAATAACCTTGCATGCTCTTGTTGTCACGATCTAGCTAATAATTAAACACGTAATGTTTTTTGAGATTGAGACCAACAAAAATAAAAAAGTAGGTGTGGACCGTGTGGTGAGTTTTTAGGTTTTACCCGTGTGGTGCCGTCCCGGAGATCTCAGCCGCGACACTGGTAGTGCAAACGATGGAGCCGCGCGTGCCTTTCTCCACCATGGCACGTGCCGCGTGTTTGATGAAAGCGGCTGCACCGCGGAGGTTAATAGCGAGAATTCGGTCCAACTCGTCGAGGTTTAGGTCGAGGATGCTCGCAAACGGCTCTATAACGCCTGCGTTACTAAAAAGAACGTCAAGCTTCCCGTGTTTTCCGATGGTGAACTTAACGGCGTTTTCAACTTCCGTCTCGTTGGTGACATCACAGTGATAGTAGCTCGCTCCGATCGAAGCGGCAAGGTTTTGACCGAGCTCGTCTTGTACGTCAACAATGACGACTCGAGCGCCGTGTTCTGTAAATAACATGGCGGACTCAGCACCAATCCCGCTTGCTCCCCCAGTAATAATAACGATTTTGCCATCTAATCTGCAAAGAAAACAACACACACACGTTTATGTAAAACGGTATAAATTTTCAGCAGAACAAGAGATGAGGAACTTGCCTGTTTCCAGACATTATTGTTAACAAGACGTTTCGAAAATTTGAAGGATATGGCTACGAGAAGCATGTGTCGATGATATTTATACATGTGTATATAATAAATGAATACTCATACGTATGGTGAAAGTCAACTCTATCGTGCCATGCCATGTGTGTGGGCTTCACTTTTTTTAATGGCTCAAGAATTGGTTTGACCTCTGAATTATATATGCACCGTAATTATTACAGTACTTATTCATATTGTGGAGTATATCATAATGTTTTTACTCGTTAAAATGATATCATTTAATAAATTACACTTGTTCATTTAAGGACTATTATGATGATATTCAATAGCTAAAAAAACAAACGATTCCTATTGGTATGAAAAGAAGGTTTTAATAAGATCTTGATATGGAATATGATATTCAATATAATAACGTTCATCAATAACGATCCCGATTGGGAAACAAATAACCAATATTTTTATATAATGTAAATATATCCTACTGTCTCAAACAGGCTTAACGACGCAAAAACCACCGTCCACAGATAAGTTCTGACCACTGATATAAGCTGAGTCATCAGAAGCAAGAAACAAGGCAGCATCCGCCACGTGTCGAGCCTTCAGCACAGCACCTTTAAGAATCCCTTTAGCTTCGCTGTACTCCTCGACCTGCTTAGCCGTCTCCTCGTCGTGGCTAGTCATTGCTGTCGCCACCCCGAACGGTGCCACGCCGTTTATTCTTATCCCATGTTTCCCTAAATCGCCACACACGGATCTAATCAGCCCCACGAGCCCATGCTTCGACGCCGTGTATTCATGAGGTCCCTGACCACCGATCTCCGCCGTAACGCTGGTCGTACAAACGATGGAACCACGCGTGCCTTTCTCCACCATGGCACGTGCCGCATGTTTGATAAACACCGCTGCTCCACGAACGTTCACAGCCATTGTTCGGTCAAACTTTTCGAGATCCAAGTCGAGAATGCTTCCCGGTGGTTCTAAAACGCCCGGTTGGCTAAACAGAATGACGCCAGCGTTACTAAACAGAACGTCTAGCTTTCCATGTTTTTCGACGGTGAACTTAACGGCGTTCTCTACCTCTGTTTCGTTTGTAACATCGCAACAGTAAAAACTTGCTTTCTCGGTGCCTATTGAAACGACAACGTTTTGACCTAGCTCTTCTTGTACGTCAACTATGACCACTTTAGCTCCGTGTTCAGTGAACAGCCTTGCGGATTCGGCTCCAATCCCGCTGGCTCCGCCTGTTATAATCACGATTTTGCCATCCAGTCTTCTGCATGCAGACAAAGTGGATAATTAGATATATATATATATATACTTTTGTAGAGATGAATTAATCAAAAATGAGTGAGAGAGAGAGAGAGAGAGCAATCAGGCACTTGCTTGCTTCCCGACATTGCTGAAGATGTTTTACAGGTCGGTCACAGTTTTGCGTACTCAGAGATAACAACTTGGTGAGGCTTGTATTTTTAAACTGGAACCATCCAGGATTATGCACTATATGAGTACATGGTATCTAATTAAGTAAGGTAGATTATAAAGTTCTGACCAAATCTATGTATTTTCAAGTGTTAACTTAATATGTTAATTACAAACATGCAAAGGAAAAGAATCATATCTATCTGAACAATAACATATTTTTATGGTAGATATCCTCACAATTGTAGATCAACCATTTTGTTAAGTTCTTAAAGAACCTAGATTTTACATACTATATATTTAAGATATTTTTGCTGATTGTAAAATTTATTTGATTCTGAATATGAAGTAACGTGATTAGTAGTAGAAAAGTATAGAAATCTTTAGTCATTTTCAATCTGTAAACTAAAGTTATAGGATTACATTTCTAGATTGTCATAAAAATAATTAATTCTCATTTAGGACAGGTGTATAATTGCCGTGTGTTATATACTTTTATAAGATGCATACTTTATTTTTCTTTAATTTGCGTAAATGATAAATTTACGTAACAATTAATTTTAACCTTTAAACTTCATATTTACTTATTCGCATACGTAATTGCTTACATAGGTATATATAGTTGATGCTATAAGCGAGCTTTACATGCTTGTAAAAACCGTTAAATCCACACAATCACATATAACAAATCTTGGAAGACTTTATTGATGCCATTATAGTCAAAAACTTGGAAAGAAAAGTCCAATTATTGAAGCGAAAAAAAAGAAAACGAAGAAAAGTCTAAAGCCACGTGTGCTTAACCGAACCATCCAAATTCGATTTGTCATCAGACCATCTTCATTGGGGTATCTTAGAAGGCTAAGATACCCCCACTTTTTCAAAAAAAATATGTTATATAAGGATTTTCTTTGGAAAAGTGGGGGTATCTTAGCCTCATAAGATACCCCCAATGAGAATGCCCTCATAAACTGATGAGTACAACAAAAACATATATAAACACGAAACAAACAACCGCTTAGACAAAAAATGCGAGCTCTTATATAAATAAGTTAACTGTAAATTTACAAAACGGAAAACTCTCGGCTGGTTCAAATAATGTAATCAGCCGAGAAACAAAAGACAGGGTTTATTCGTCGTCATCATCATGTTTTCTGTTTAGCCATAGCCTTCACGGTTTTATTCAACCTTCCAATAAGCTCCTCAAGCTATGAAACGCCTCTGCCGTCAAACTACAACACCGTTGCTTCTCCGCTGCCGCCACATCATGGACCGAGGATAAACAAACTACAACAACTGTTAAGTTATCAAACGTGTTTAGCCTTAAGAACCACGGTTGGTGCTCCGAACAATTTGACATCGAGAACCACCGGCAAACTCTGCTTCAGCCACCATATTCTCTTCTTCACATCAATCAGTCAAAAATTTGATCTTTCCTCTTTATCTTCAATCTGCCCAGAAACAAACTCTACTTAATTTCCCCTGCGTGCGTCACTTGTGTTGAGATCGAAACTTTCAAAGTTGCGTGCTTTTTGTTTTTGTTTGTTTTTTTCTCCTTGGTGGACGAAAATTCTGAGACGTGTGTGCTTCTTCTCATATTTATACATATACGATCTGATGATGAGACATGTGTGGGTGACCGGTCACCGGTGGCTACAGGTTAACCGGAAAAACACGTGGCGGCAATGCGTGGCGTTTTTAAGGTTGGTGATGTAGATTACAACGCGATAACAAGGCAATTACGTGTCATGGTCTGGAGATGACGCGCCCGGCTCTCTACGAAATGACAGAAACGCCCACCGTTTAATAACTAACTTTGGCTCCCTTTATTATATATGGATTCTTCAGCGGTGCTTTTGAATTAAGGGAATACTTGTATTAGATATATATAGAAACCAGAACTTGTCAAACGTACAATTATAATCCCACCCAAAGGAAAGAAAACAGTTGATTGACATCCAAAAATTTTTAGTTGTTTACTTGGGGTACGTCTCTTTATATATGATTTTTGTGTATTATGTTCGCCTAAACAATATATTTTTATTGGTTCGAAACAAATGGAAAATTATATAATTCATAGTTTCATGGGCCTAGTCCTTACAATAAAAAGTTAAAAGGCAATCTTGGACATCAAACTCTAACCCAATGATAAAGCCCATTTTATGTTTGCTAAGTTGGTCTCGCTCGTAGAGCCATGGCCCGTGATCATTCCTTGTGTTTGAGAGTCGAGACTTCAATGTCTTTGTATTATTCTCTAAACTTAGTCGGCACATTTCTCCTATGGCTAGAAAGAATCAGGATTACTAAAACCGTAAATAAGAAGTATGTTTTGCGTGTGTGATTCAGATATTATGCATGCTGCATGCAGAATAACATTTTAATTTTACTTTTATTAATGACATATTTTTTTTTTTACAATTTCGTGAGAGATCTATGTCGTCAATGTGACATGTAAAGCATTATTTTTTATATGTTTTCTATCCATCAGTTTGAAGATAAAATACTGAGGTTTGACTGAATAAAACATATGTATGTAAGAAAATGTATATCATATAAAGAAAATCTACATTATTTTCTCTATGACTAAACAGACTAAGATTTAGCAGTTTTTATTGCATATGTATCTTCAGGTAATTTTTTTTTGAATATGTGCTTAATATAAGAATGGCCAAGTATGTAAACAACAAGTACTACATTATCGATCTAGAACAACATGTTCAATTTGGACGGTATATAGTTTTGGTTAAGTTGATTTGAGACTGACACGTTCAAAAGGGTCAACGAGTATGTCTAATCTCCTACCATCAAAAGTGAAGTTGAAGAATGTGAGGCTTTGCTTTTAAGGTGATGAAGAGGGGAATGAATAATGCGAAAGAGTTCTGTTTTAGTCTAAGACAATAAAGAGTCACAAAACATATAAAACAAAGTTCCATTGCATGATTTAGACGGTGACCTATCCATAAGGCAACTTATTATCTCTCATTATTGCAGACAACAAGAATATCAATGATACACAAAATACATTTCACTATCGATCAAGTCAATGGTTTATGCCATAAAAAAAAAAAAAAATTATCAGTAAATGGAAAACCAAGAGTTCCCTTTACTAACTCTTCTTTTGTTAGCCACCCATGTTTTTGTCGTAATTAGTTTTAATTTTGACGAAATCTCAAATTGAGGGCATGCATGAAATAAAGTGAACAACTCACATACGTAAAAGAAACTTACATACGAATAGAGTAGCTAGTGGATTTAAACTCATAGTATCTATCTTTAAAATACGACTTTATAAGAACACGAAATATTTAAAAATTAAAATTAAATCTCAGTGGCCATTCATTCTTTAAGGAAAAAACTAATAAATGTTTATACAATAAGTTAATGATGATCTTATTGTATAAACATTTATTAGTTTTTTTTCTTAAAGAATGAATGGCCATTGAGATTTAATTTTAATTAAAAAAAAAGAATTCTTAAAGAATGAATGGCCAAAAAAAAGTTAATGATGATCTTACCTAAAGTTATACCCATCTCTTACAAAAAAATTGCAAAATATATATAAATTATTAGGTCGAACTAAAACACCGACGCAATGTGTATATAAAAGCTTTTCTTAATAAAATATTAGTCTTAAAAGTCCACCATTAAACATGGTCTAAGATTGCTACTGCCAAAATAAAAAATATGTAATTTTTTTTTACTTCAAACCAAATTTGATTAATTTTTAAAATAGTTATTAGCGACTTTGATTAATCACTATATATTCACTACCAGTAGATCGTACATGATATATCATCATCATAAGATTTATTTTTTGACTTCATCATATAATCATACATTTTAAATAAATAGAAATTCTTTTCCGAAGAGGGTCGATCTCAATTATCTCGTGACCTCTCATACATCATATATCTACTCAAGTGCTATCAATGTTTTTCTAACCTTTTCAAGGATAATTAGAAACCATTCCTTTTCATTTTCCCATCATAATGACAAAGTTTCAAACTATTGGGGCATCACCTTTCTTTATTGATATTGAACATTCGTGTTCTTCTACTTTTGTCTTCGTCGGGTTCGGTTTTGGTATAGAAGTTGACCCTTGAATTGTTTTATATAAATAGTACCAAAGTGCTTCTTCGAACGACAAGACTATACTTGAACCAGATAGCTGGCCACTCTTTTCATGCTCAAAAGCATTAAATTGCTTTTGCTTGTAAATCGTAATAATCATTCACGCCTTTCCTTTTCCATATGTTTCCCACTCTTTCCCCATAGGCTTTTTTTTTCATGTGTAAATCAAAGAAAAGTTAGAGCATGATTATTGATGAGCTCTTAAGCTTTTCTCTTAAGAATAATTTAGTAATAAAATTGAAAAGTTTAAAGTTAAGAGTTAGATTTTTGATTTTAGTTTTTATGTATCTTTAATGGTAGACTCTTAACTTGAGGTTCTTAGAAAAACAAATTATTCAAATGAAATGAACTAAAATTTGTAATTTTATAAAACTTATTAATTATTGCATATTTAAAAATTTTAAATATATATGAGAAATTGAGAATAATAAATTGCTTAATTTTCTAAAAAAAGATTTTAACTTTTGAATTTTAATCATCCTTGAGAAAATGATAAAATAATAAATCGGTGAATAAGAATTTCTGTGATATTAATCATGTACAATGTTATTGAATAAAAATTACAATTATAATATTATTATGTATATAATAACGTGGAAGAAGCGAGATGAATGTGAAGTAGAAGAGGACAAGTTCAGCTTTGAGCAGAGAGACATGCGATTGTCTGAAAGAGAGAGAGAAAAAGAACCTTTTTCCCCACTTTTTTTTCTTTTCTTTTTTCGACCACTAAGAAATTGACACGTGCACCTCTTAAGGTTAAGATTAACTCTTGACCAAGGAACGTCTCTTACCATTTAGCATTATTAATTATTTAATTTTAATCAACAAAATATATAAGAAACAAGTAAGACTCCCCCATTAATCATGGTCTTATGTATATGTAACATCAATACATCATGATGCATTTTACTCACGAACTGTTTAATTACTTGCATTGCATGTGTAACT